ACAGTCGCTGGAACAAGTGTCGGAGATCCCACACCCCAAGCGTCAAGTACCATCGACTCAACACTCAACGCTCGAAAACATGTCTGCGACTGCTACGGATCAAATGGACTTCGAGGCGGCCCACGTCGTGTATTCAGTGGGAGAAATGCCGACCACGTTCAAGTCGGCGATGGAATCCAGCGACGCGGACAAGTGGAAGAAAGCGTGTGACTCGGAATGTGACGCGCTACGCAAGAACAAAACCTGGGACGTTGTGCCACTACCGAAGGGACGCAAGGCCATCGGTTGCAGATGGGTGTTTCGAGTCAAGGAGAACCAGGATGGCGAGATCGAGCGGTTCAAGGCGCGTCTGGTTGCCAAGGGATTTTCGCAGAAGTTCGGCATCGACTATGACGAGACGTTTGCACCAGTGGCCAAGTTCACATCGATCCGAATCGTGCTCAGTTTAGCTGCGAAGTACGGACTCAAGTTGCACCAGATGGATGTGAAGACTGCGTTCCTGAACGGTGAGCTGGATGAAGATATCTACATGGAGCAGCCAGACGGCTACGTTGATGAAGACCATCCGGACTACGTGTGCAAGCTCAAGCGTTCGCTGTACGGACTGAAGCAGTCGCCGCGCATGTGGAACCAGACCATCGACGATTTCATGCTGAAGATGGAGTTCGCCAAGTGCGAGTCGGATCACTGCGTGTACGTCAAGCGGGAAGGCGACGACATGATTTTCGTGGTGCTCTATGTGGACGACTTGATCATCGCGAGCAGTAATGACGAGCTGATGAAGTCGACCAAGAGTGCTCTCAGCGATAGGTTTGAGATGACGGATCTCGGCGAACTCAAGTACTTCCTCGGGATGGAGATCAAGCAGAACCTCGCGGCTGGAGAAGTATCGCTGCGACAGTCCAAGTTCGCGCAGACCATCCTGACCAAATTCGGCATGCAGGACAGCAAACCTGTGAAGACTCCACAAGACCCTGGACTCAAGTTGACGAAGAACATGTGCGAGGGTGGCTGCCACCACGACGAAACCATGGCAGGTGTACCATATCGAAGTGCCGTCGGTTGCCTGATGTACTTGATGGTGGGAACACGCTCGGACCTTGCGGCTGCAGTGGGAGCTCTCAGTCAGTTTGCTTCGGATCCATGCCCCACGCATTGGCAGGCACTCAAGCGAGTATTCCGGTACATCCAAGGCACAAAGACACACGGCATCGAGTTTCAAGCGAGTGATACGGACGGTCTTCGCGGCTATTCGGATGCAGACTGGGCAGGCGATGTGGAATCTCGACGCAGCACGAGCGGATACGCATTCATGATGAACGGCGGATGTGTGAGTTGGCGCAGCAAGAAGCAACGAACTGTAGCACTATCGTCTACGGAAGCAGAGTACATGGCGTTGTCGGAAGCCACGCAAGAGGCAGTGTGGCTCAAAGCGTTTCTGTGTGAACTCGGCGAGATGGCAAACGATGAAGCTGTCAAGATCTACGAGGACAACCAAGGCTCCATCGCATTGGCCAAGAATCCCGAGTTTCACAAGCGCACCAAGCGCATCGACATTCGCTACCACTTCGTGCGCGAGAAGGTGGAAGACGGTCAAGTGGTGCTGGAGTATATTTCGACGAAGGACATGCTGGCAGACATCATGACGAAGCCGATCACAGCCATGCAGTTTGAAGTTCTTCGAAACAAGCTCGGAGTTCAAGCACCAAAGACTGCCGAGTCGAGTGGGAGTGTTGTCAAGAAGACGCCTCGACCAGCTGCGGAATACCGGCAGATACCGGTATGACCTTCACTCAGTAGTACCGCAATCATTCCTGTGATTATGGGACAATGTTTACGCCACACGTGGGTACAAGATTGTGGGTACATGATGGGATCTACGTGGCACTCGCTGATTGGCTGAAGTAACTCAGTATCCAGTAAAGAATCCAGTAGAGTGTATCCAGTAGGTAGGACAAGAGGCTTAGAGGTAGCAAGTAGCTTGTGAACTAAGGACCTAAATCAATCACTTTGCCTTTTGCACCAAACTACGAAAGTGACCTTTCTTTATCCAGCTGCAAAAATCATGATAGCTTTGTCATCGCTGGCCAAACGCACGACCGTTGAAGCCATGGCCTCCTCAGCCTTCTCTGTGTTCTTGTACACTTTTTTCTCACCGTTGATCCACTTTTTGGAGCTGCCGGACTTAGCGAGTTTTTCCGCATTTTCGTAGCTTGATACCTTGTCAAGATTTAGCCTCTTAAAACGTATGGCATTTGCTTTTTGGCTCTTCGGACGTGTAATAATCCTAAAAGCGTCAACAGTCTTCTGGCTTAATTTCTTAACCACATCCGGGACCTTCAAAGCTGGAAGTTCGAAGTCGATGTGAAGTGAAGTGCTCTGTCTTCATTGTCATCGACGTCGATTGTCGTCGTGTCAGAGCTTGACCGCAGATGCCTCGTGTTGCTCTGGTGGACACCAAGTGCATACTGCAAAGAACCAGCAATGACCGTGTCGGAGTCTGCAGTCTTCGGTAGAGTGCTCCAATATGTCAATAGCGTGATCGCTGCTAGTACTGTGTACCAGTACAGCCTCTTATGTTGATTACGCGTCGTGGACATGCTGGAAAGGGGGGATGAATTGAACGAGGTCCGAGTGTTTGGAAGCGAATATTGGAAGGAAGAGACAACAATGCCGCACCCAAACGGGATTGCTTGACTGGCTTTTCTATTCTTACCGTCCAGTCCAATTGATTTGCGTAAAAGACACACCGATCGTTAAGAACGAAAGGTCCAGTGGCATGGTGTTGTACAAACGCAATGAATCGTCTGACGAACGCAACGATGCAAAGCCAACAAAACATGTGCATACATTCGTATCCACGTTAGTAACAAACTGTCACATCAGAAGATTCATGTCACGTTTTTGGCGAGGAAACGAAAGGTTTCAGTCTACATAGAGATTCGTTTGAAACAACACAAGCTCGATGTCACGTTCTGCTAGCCTTAAAGTTAATTCCGTAGTGTCCATGGTGCTCTGATCTCTATGCTCGTGCGACTAATTATAGTTATGAATGCAGACAACCTGTTGTACTAGCGCAGTGAAGTTGTAGAGTACTGTTTAGTATCTACTTGTGAGGTCTGCGCAGGACGGACGACACTGTATTGCCGTGTCTATGTCATGTCGAGCCACAGAATCTTAAACAAAGCCTGTGCAGAAGTACAGCGATTTTGAGTGTTGTGTTGTGCATCGAATCACCATCACTATCAACTACGTCGCAACGATCAAGTAGACGATCATACCAATCCGAGGCCATAAAAGTCGGTGCTATAACTCGAGGGTTACCCACCATATGTGCAGACTGCTGAGCGCTTTGTCTCAATTGTCAGGCTAAACAAGGTTGTCAATACGCACCGAATTATCTACGTCGGACTTCTGGACCGTCATAAATTGCACTGTATACCAGTATTCATAAAGGCACATTGGTCTAGCGAGACTTGTTTGTCGTAACAAGACGTGTTGTCACTACGGACATTGTGCTGGACCTGAATGAAGCATGCAGAACTGAAGAAGTGCTTGGAGCTACGAAAAGAATGACGATAGTTTCGTGCTTCTTAGGCTTCAAATAGGGCTGGACTACTGCGGGTCTCGTTCGTGTATGACATTTGGGTGAGAATGCTAGACTGCAGCGCTTCCATTCTGCACTAAGGATTCGATATGAAGCTGAAGATCTAACTAAGATGGTCGCTAAGCTAAAACGGTCAAGAGGCTTAAGGCATATAAAGTAGACAGAGCAAGAGGTTTGGCTTATCACCGGTGATACGGCGGACACGCTTATCGGTTTACTACAATTGAAGGAGAAGGAACGTACGCGGTATTCATACAGAGACGGAGGTAAATGTGTGTTGTTTTTGAAATTGGTCAAAGTTTGTTCATTAGCAGCAAGCGAGGCCTACAGCGTCAGTATCTTGACACTTGCGCCGTAGGAAGCTGGGGCGGAATACACGCGATTTGATAGTCTCGTTGAAGCATGTAGAACCTTATACGCTGTACAACGCTATGACTTTAATCGTGCCGAACAGCTCCACACCAGCACTTTCAACTATGAAGACATGTATAGCCAGCAAACCATACTGTGCTTGCCAGTACGAGTTCACATACATCAAGTTCAAGAAAACTAGTACAACATTGCACGGCCGATAGAAAGCATATGGCTACCTACAGAGCGGACTACGGTATCATTCACACTTAACTTCTCTGTCATGTAGCTCGTGATAAGCAACACATGTCGTCTGAAGTGCCACGCAGAACGAGGACAGCCAGTAAGATTTGGTGAGATGGAACTGATAACTCTGATTGCTCTTGGTGCTACTAACTGTGCCTCAAAGTTGATAAACAGTTGTGACTCAAGCAGAGTATCGAGGAATAACAGAAGCTATCGATGCTGTGTGATTGTGGCCACCTGCAATCGGCAACAAGGTAGTCAGGACAGCGTTAGTCAAAGTTAATACCTGTCGTGCAATGACCGAGTTCTGTGACTAGCTTAATCAAAAAAAACATTGAGCTTAATGATTAACAGCAAGTTTAACAGGGAAGGACGTTTAGATCAGCCTCGTGACCGACGAGTGGTCATGTGGGCGACAGTATGGCACTACAAGTCTTGACTTGCAATTTTGCAAGTCATTTATAAAGCCAGCAAGTGCAGTGTATGGTCGGTTACCAGAAGATCTAATTCAAATTAGGACAAGTAGCAGCAACATTAAAAATGGCGATGGCGTTTCAGATGACGATATATCAGTAAGCTCACTGTCAACACTCTTTCAACCAAGACACACACTTATGACTCAGTATGGAGATAGAATGGTGGTGTTTATTGATTTAGTTTCAGTAATGATGGGTACACACGTTGGGCAGTTTTTTTATGTAAAAAAGTGCTTTGTTTGTACAATGTAGCCATTAATTTGTCAATTAGTACATGGTATCATATAGTGTGGTGCACATCGTCTTTTCATTAGTAGAAAATGAAAGTCACCGTGTATATTGTCACACCTGGTAGTGCTAGTGCGCGTCGAATTTGCTGGTATACGGGTACATCAGATGCTCAAGTGGAAATGGCAATACGTATGCAGCTCGAAATTCCACAAGGTATGAACTTCTTACTGCGTGATACTGACGATGATATTGTTCCTGTTTCTTCGACTTTACCAACTGGTCATCGGTATACACTGGTTTTACCGAAAGGCTATCAGTTTGAGGATGTTACGTTACGTCGTGATGAGACTTGTCAAGTTAGAAATAGAACTGTCTCATCAGTAGATGATGATAATGATGATGATGACGTATCTGTGATAACACCAGAGCAAATGACAGTAGCTTCAAGTTCAACCATGAAAAGGAAACGGTATGAGGGTGATAGAAATGTCTCGAATTCTACCACCTCGTCTCCACATGATGATAGGGTTAGTAGCATTCTTCCAGCTACGCAAAGTGAATCCATGCTTCCTCGATCAATTGCACCTATTATTGCGCAATTTATTCATACGTTTACAGAGCCAATTGCCAACGATGATAATGTCAGCTTTATTCCTAATTCAGGACGCTTTGCGCTCTACGCACTTTACTGCCAAATTGTGCAAGATTCAAAATATCATCCAAAGCGTGAGGATGTGTTTTACAAAATGACATCCATGCATGGTAAAGTCGATCGTCAGCGTGTGGTTCGTTTCTACAAGTGTCTAGCACAAAACGAGGAAGGAACGGAATTTATACAGCATAAACCTCAGGGCAAGGGCGTATTGCTAAGAAAGTATCGTGACGTGGACAATTCAGGGCAACTAAAGGATGTGGTAAAGTCGGCACCATTCATTTCATGGTTGAAGCTTGACCCGAACGAGGTCGTGGCACTTTATGTCCGGTTCATACACAGCTTTACACCGATTGTTAAGAGTGACTTTAGAGCGCAAACAAGTCATGTCCATTTGTAGCTAAGTGTCGAATAGTGTGACGCATAGGAAAATAAGTATGAATTACAAGGGCTAATAAGCCCCTGCAAACGTTATGTCTTTCCTACAATTCATCCTTCTCGTCAGCAGATTTCGTCTCCTCTTCCTTCTTCCCCTCAGCCTTTACGCTCTCGCCATCCTTAACCAACGTCTCGTTCTCAGCATTCAATCCATCTTTATCAGAGTCGCTGCCATCCGACTTCACCGGCATTGGCTTGGGCCGCTTTGCTAGAGCACCGACAAACTTCTTGACACCTTGGACCTTTTTAATAACGTCCGCAGACGTCACCACGGGCTTCTCATGTTTTGGAGAGGCCTTCTGCTTGGATCCCGATTCGGTTAGCCACACATCAAGCTCATCCAATTTTTCAACCACGTCACTGCGTTCCTGCTCCGTCACCTGCGGCTTGCTTGTGGCCCAGTCGTCCATGAGCTTACGCGTACTAAGAGCGTACTCCCGAGCAGTATTGATAGCGATGGGAAGCTCCTTCAATTCAGCCACACGGAAGAGAATTGCGCCAAGCTCCGAGTTCAGCATGTCCATTTTCTTCTTGTACGCAGCAGCCTCCACCTTGTCACCATCGTCGTACAGCCACTCCTCTGTTTCCGATAGCAGTTTTTGCAGCGACTCGACCTGCTCAGGCACCGTCACCTGTCTTATTTCGTTTTCCTGAGCAGACAATGCGTCAAGGGCGTTGTAAATAGAAGTCTCAAGGCTGTTCTTGGCCTCCAAGTTGGCCCGACGGTTGTTATCCGCATTTTCCATCTCGTTCAGCATACGCATAGACTCCTTCTTGACTTCCTCGCTCATAGGCAACACACTCATGCCCACTTCTGGGTCGCGCGTCTTGTACGCACGCACCACAGTCAGTTTCTCGCGATGCGTTTTCGTCTGCTTTTCCATTCGAGTTTCCGGTTTCGTTTCCTCTTCAATCTCGTCCGCCTTATCAGCTTCGCTGCTATCAGCGCTGCCGTCCTCCTTTGGTTTCTTGCTGCTCTCTTCCTTCTTTACAACCACCTCAACCTCCACCTCCTCTTCCAGCGTGGCTTCAGCCTTAGCAATCCGAGCAATGCCGCTGCTGTCTAACTCAAAAGACAACGTGACCTTTGGCTCACCAAGGTTCTTGCCGGCCATGCGCACAACAAACTTCTCAATGCCCGTGATATTGACCTTGCCAATATCCACGCTTACACCAGCGGGCAGCATCGACGGCTTGTCATAACGGAACGTGCAGGAGATATCACGCGAGTGCAAGAAAGACACAGACTTGCGCAGACCCAGGCGATGAGACTCTGAAAAGATAGACGCACGCTTTGTCCACTGCTTTGTTTCCACCTCGTCCTTGTCATCGAGCTTCTTTTTCTCACCAGCAGCAGGGAGATCCATCAGGCGCACACCAATCGGGTACGACGCAATGTCCACCATTCCTACCTGGCGTACACGGAATGAGTTGCTCAAATTGGCAGCACGAAAAGCAGCACCTAAAGCCATAGCCTCATCTCCATTCAAGTGTACACCTAGGTCCTTGCCAACAAAGAACTCGGAAAGCTGTTCCTGGATCTTTGGCATACGCACGCCGCCACCAATGAGCTCAATCTCATCAATGTCTGCAACAGTCAGTCCTGCCTTCTCCAAAGCCATCTCGACAGGTTTGAGCGTGCGTTTTAACAGATCAGACGATAGCTCTTCCAGCTTCGAACGAGTCATGGTGGTGAAAAAGTCAATGTCATTGTACAAACTCTGCATCACCACGGGAATTTGCTCATTGGCCGACAGCACCGTCTTCGTCTTCTTTGCCTGTGCACGGATTTTTGCCATCGGACGAGGCACCTTGCGAATATCCTCTCCAATCTTCTCACTAAACTCGTTAGCCAAGTATTCGGCCAAACGCAAGTCAAATTTGGCTCCACCAAGCGACTCATCCCAAGCATTGCTAATAGTCTGAAACGTCGAAACGGTCTTGTTTTTCTTGAATCCATCAGGTACTACCTGGCTAGAAAACTCGGCAATGCTTACCTGTAAAGAAGTTGATCCCAAATTGTAAAACAAAATCTTCTTTGGTTTATCATTCGGGTCATAACTCGCGTGCACCGCCAATTGCAAAGCCGCCGCCGTGTTTTCATTAATAAGTGACAACACTCTCACGCCTGAAATCTCTGCCGCATCGAGCAGCGCTTGACGTTGTGCTTGAGAGAAGAATGCGGGTACTGTCAGTACCCAATCCTTCACAGGTGCTTCAGCAAAAGTGTCGGTAATTTGTCTTGCATGAGCAAACACCATTGCCACTAATTCTTCAGCATGAAATGTCTGTTTCTTTCCATGTTTAAGAGAAATAGTACCACCACGTGTAGCATTTTGTATCAAATCATAGGGAAAATGTTCTTCATCAAGTAACGCTGTGACCTGTGGGTCAGTCAACGTCGTGCCTAATAGTCGGCGGATCTGCGAGTACGCCGTCTGAGGTCGACGTACACCCACAGTAGCAGCATCAGCACCATAGAGTCTTTCATCGCCCTCAAAAGCTACCATCGTTTCCGTCTTACGCTTGCTGTGTACGTTCGTAACGATTTCAAAGGGTGTACCAGGTTTAACAAGTGCAATCTTGAAGAACTCGCCACCCAGATCAACACCAGCAACAGCAGCCTCAATCATTGACGTTGCTAGCAAGCCAGTATTCACTAGTGAAAGCAACAGCAACGTTACGGTCTTCATATTGAGATGCGATTTACAATGAGTGAGTGATGGTCTTTTAAAAACAACAACAAAAGAGTGATGGTCTTGTCTATTAACTGCAAAAATGCGGAATGCAAAAGTTACTGACGGACGTCAAGGTGACACGTGTTCTTTAGACTATAGTGAACACAGGTAAACGTATTGTGACCAATTAAACAAAAGTATCTTCTATTTACTTGCTGACGTGGCGAAAGAGCTACATTTAGGTTACACCAACGTGTCGCTTACCGCAATATGTAATCCAATGAATAACCAAAGGCGTACAGCCTAATACTGTAGACGAAATACATGTAAAGTAGCTTCTAACGCTAGCAATGAATTTAGCTAATGTAGTAAGGGATTGTCGATTGGTACGGACATTGACCGTATCACGATGAATATCCCTAATCATCGAGAATGTCTCTAACAATCGACAATGTCTTCTTCACACCAGCGTCTTATCACTATCAGAATTTGCCTCCTCGTCACCGTTACAATTGTGTCTTGCTCAGGATGATCTATGGCTGCCATGACCGGTCTCAATGAGTTTTCAGTTGTACAGCTTCGGTATCAGCTCACTCTTATTACAAAGCAACAACATCACCTTCGCGCTGTCGTCATCCATTTTAGTGCGACGCAAAATACTCCTTGAACGACGCTAGGCAAGGACAGATACATACCAGTTTCATCGTCAGCAGCCACGGTCGCACATCCTCTTGGGGTAAATAGTTCTTTACATTTGATTGATGCACCACGCACTTGCATCCCGTTCCGCACTTTACTAGATTAGAGACCAAGAACAGCTTGTATTGTCGCTAAAGCTTGCACAGGATCGCTCACTTTATTTGCTGTCGCATCGCTTGGATCAATAGCTACAACAGCTTCGACCTCCAACTGTTCTAACAAAACTAGCGCCTGCATAATAAACACAAAGTCAGAGAAATATAATATACTTGTGTACATGTACGCAGATAAAACCCAGCTCTACCTGAGCATACTGCTTCCATCCCGGCAGCTTCACAAACTCCCACAGCTTAGGGTCAAGCTCACCGTAGTCATCCACACCTGTGGATTGGCGGTCCACAATCCATGGACAGAAATGTCGATGTTGTGATAGCGAATCGACACTCCAGTCTATTTCGACCTTCATACGCTTCGCTGTGGGCTCTCTCTTTCCGACGCCTTCCTTAGTTGGTGTCGTTGGAAGTACTTGCCAGCGTCGATTACAAAAACTACAATGAAGCGTGTTTGCTTGACTACCTTCTTTCTTGTCGAACTGCCACCCACTAACGATCAAAATTCCAGCATTCAAGAGCGCTTTCGAGTTCACAGATCTCTTGTCCTGATTTGATATAGTCGAAAACAACTTCGACGTCAACGTCGCAATATCCAGAGGAACTGCAACGCCTGCAGTACCATTCGCTTCTTGCAATATCTTGAATGTCACATCATCAGCAATTTTGACACATTCCATTTGTTTTTGCAACTCTGTGTCTTTGTGAAGCCGTGCAATGTCTTCTTCTAAACGACAAACAAACATCTCATAGACTTGACGCTTCGTCGCAATCGGAAGCTACACCAAATAACACACCACAATTAGCAATACAGCAACACATTTGTACAAAACCTTTTCCTCAACACACTCTCAATCTTACCATCATGAAACCTCGTGGCGACGGATTCCCACGCCACGGACAGAGCTCGGTGTGACCCGTGACCAATTGACCAGCAAACGTCTTTGCCACGTTCAACGCACCACTTTCGCTTAATTTACTATCAATTTTAAAACAAAGAAACTGGTTGCAACTTCAAAATAGCAACAAGGACAGCATCAGTATCAAAACATCGTCGTTATGTACATATCTTGCAGCGTTCATTTTTTTGCCTCACCATGCACAATATAGTTGATCCGACGCTGTATTTCTCCATCCACAACGAGCACATTCAAACACACTGATTATATCTGGCTTTGCAAACCACGAAGCAATAGAAAAGCTGTCCACTCGCGCTAGAAAATCACCATGTTCCCAGGGACGACAAGAATCTGTGATCTTGTTACATTTAGCAGACGTTTTCATCCGATCCTGACGATTTAGAGTCATCGGATCAGAGTCAGATGTAAACATCAGTACATGTTCTCTTATACGTGTGTCCAAGGGCGTTGTAGCGTCATTCCAAGCAGCTAGGAACGTCTCCATTTGCGATGACTCTTGGGCTGCCATAGAGTCAAGTTGATGTGTCCACATTAACAATGCAAACAGCCTATATTCATTATTAATTAATGTGTACACATGAATTTCCAACGTCATACACAAACTTTTGCACTGCTTAAATCCAGAAACTAGTCTCTATAGTAAAAAACAAAATAGTTTGTGACAAAAATAGTAGGTACATCACAAATAGCAAATTATAGAGCAATGGCGAATGAAGCGGTGGACGTGAGCAAGTTGGAGGCAGAGGCAGCAAGTTTAGCAGGTGAGGCGGAGATTTCTACGACGGATGGTAATGTCTCAATACCTACGAAAGAATCAGCAGAGACTGTAGATGCAGAGATTGAAGATATGAAGCGCCGCGTGAAGGAGATGGAAGAAGAGGCAGCCAAGCTAAGCGAAATGCAATCGGAAGTGGAATCGCAAATGGGAAATACGTCATCAAGCTTTAACGAAATGAGTGGAAATGTATCATCAAATGCTCAGACATTACAGATGGAAGACACGTCCATTTATATTGGTCAAGTTGATTATGGTAGTACACCTGAAGAACTTCAAGCGTTGTTTCAATCATGTGGCACCATTAATCGTGTTACGATTCTGTGTGACAAATTTACGGGTCAACCTAAGGGATATGCGTACATTGAATTTGCCTCTCATGACGCTGTGGAGAGTGCACTGCTGTTGAACGACACAATGTTTCGTGGCCGACAGCTCAAGGTGACGCCCAAGCGGATAAATGTGCGTGGATTTAACATGTCTCGTGGAGGAAGAGGAGGTCGTGGTCGAGGACGGGGGAAGAGGACGTGGTCGTGGGCCGCTTCGTGGAGGATTTCGCGGTGGTAGGGGACGTGGTTTTCATCCATACTACTAGAATCAAGCGCCTACTGGGGAGGGGGGGAGGATCTTCATAGGGACACTCACTGCTTCTAGTGAAGAGTGCATCAGAGAAGGATTAGGACGGGATACAAACGTAAAGCAAATGCTCTTGAAGCATTTGAAAAAAGGAAAAAGATGAAAAACAAACCTCACAAACAAAGAAACAATGAAAAAAAGTCAAAAGAGGTATTTTATTCCCCATGATAGCAGTCCACGAACTGGTCAAATATGGTCGTTGATAGCGTCGATATAAATAGCTGGAACGAGCAAAACAATGTAGGTACATTCAATAGTGACATAAAGACACATGTTGACGATACCAACCGAGTTACAGGAAGTGCGGTAGCGAGAGTATTACTAAGGGACTTTTTTGCTACGTTTTGCCGAAAGGCCAGGAAGGCCACTTGAATTGCGTCGCTTAGCTGCGCGAATAACCTTCTCTGAATGCTTTGATGTCTTACCTGGAACCAGGGTATCAGACACATCGTCAGTTTAGAAAAGCTGACCACCTGATACAAATCACACACATCATACCTTTGCTGATTGTGTTTGGTGGATGATTTGCAAATGAAGGCACGGTAGATCCATTTACAGTCAATACCTCATCGCCTGGTCGTTCTGTTAGCACAAGGAAAAATGTTAGCATGGAGATGGAGATTGAGTAGCATACCAAAAGCCTTACCTGATACGGTGACAGGAGTGGTGGTTGATATGTACTCCTTTCCTGTAAGAGCTTGATAGCGCTCTCGTAAAGCCTGAACCTCATTCTCTTTAAACTTGAGGTGTTTCCGCAATGACAAAAGTCCCACAGCGTCCTGGCGCAATTTGTCGAATGTTTCACAAACTGGCTTTGTAGGCATTGGACGTGCAGGCACCCCCATTTCGTCTAACAAAAGTTGCAGCTTTTTCAAAAGCTTTGGGCTAAGCGCATGCTTTTGTTGAGGAAGTGCCAACAACGAGCTTCGCAAGATCACACCAGTGGGGAGCGTGCGCTTGATCTCGTAAGGCACGTGTGCAAGCTCCTTTTTCTTTTTTGGGTCTACCTTCACCGCCACTTTCTTCAGTTGCTGCTCCACTCCACGCAACTCATCGTTCAGTCGACGAATCTCATTCTCTTCATCGACCGTACGCAAGAAATTGAGATCAAGCTGTTTCTTGCGTTGCTTTTCATACGCGATATTGAATCTATAATGCATCGGTGCAGCAGAGGTAGGTACAGTAGCAACCGGAGCCAAGTCTGCATTGGGAACAGTTTTAGGTTCAGCCTTTACAAGACCAGCATTCATTGCGGTACCTGCTCCAGGCACAGTAAGGTCCCTGGATGGAGCAGCAATAGCTTCAGCTGTAGAACCAGCAACAGCTGAACTAGCCACTACGCCTATCTTATTTTCCACTTCGCCTCTCGCCTTTTGATCTCGATACTCGGTCACCAGTCGTGTGACCTCATAGTACCGGTACTTAATGTCCTCAATAGATCGATGTGCACCTTTACCAAGAGGACTTGAATTATATTTGTCCGAGATTACGACCCACCTGCACAACACAAAAATAGTCATCAACCCTTTTCTTCAATTACCACTCACATCAACATAAAAACATGTGAATCACCGAAGGTCAAAGCGTTGACACAACTTGAGCAGCAAATCCGTCTCGTCTTTTGTCCACTTCATCATTGGATCATCATGGTGTGCTACTACCGCTTCATACTCGTCATCCGTGTAGCTCGTCGTTTTACTCTTGATATTAAATCTTGCAAACACGTAGTCTGTTTTTTCTAAATGCGCTTTTCCCCAATGTGAAAGCACTAGTCCATTTCCTCCTGTCTCTCCCGGTAAAGACGCCCGAGCAGGATTTCGAAACGACTTCCGCAACCATTTGACAGCTGGCGATTTTTTATGTTCTTGCCACTTTTGCTTAAGACTCGTCTTACCAAATCCTTGGTACAGTGCGTGACTGGCACGGTGATTGCTCTCTAGCAGCTCCAATACTTCACGTTGCATGCCTGTGAGCTTCTTTTGTCGACAAGTACTACCATTTTTCTTTCCGCGTGCTTCTACTGAAGGACCCGAAGGCTTCAGCTGATCCAAATCACTCGATGTAGTTCCATTAACACTCGATTTTGACCCTGCAAGTCCCAGGATCTGAGCGACGTCGCTCATTTTAGTACTTACTTTATCTTGAATGGTGTGGAGAAATTACCGGTAATAAGGTACTAGACGAACTTTCCGGTAGATACCGGTTTACTAAGACCGGTACATGTACCGGCTCGATTAGAAACAATAACACTATAAGAACTCAAGACGACAATGGTGCGACTTCCAGGAATCTTGGCAACAAAAAGCCCCATCAATACATATTGAGAGACACTAACGTGCTCTATATTACCTTGCATTATATATCGGTGACGGTTTCTTGTAGAGCTCTTCAGATGCATCAAAAACCGACAGTGGTCCGACAGGTGGTCCCACTGACGCGCAAGACCTCACCGTTTTCGTACGTGATAAGCTCAAGTTGATTGATTCTTCATACGTTTAAAATGATGACTGATGATTGATTATACTTTGTATGTTATTATCACTAGGTGCAAAGTCTCTTGGAGCAAATGGTGTGTGTTTGTGTCTGTGTTTAGTATAAAATACTGGATCTAGAGTTGAGCTCATTGCTAACAATGGGACCTATTGGATATTTGTTTCTTGGGTTTGCAGCAATCACGGTTTGCGCAAATGTCTGATGCCATTATTGGAAGAAATATCCTTTTTGACGTTTTGTATTCACTTCATATTGTACATTGCGTCTTGAAATCTCGATTGTTTCAAGACGATTGAAGTCGATTTGAACGAGAACGCGTGTATGTGTGTGTTTTCCTTAACCGCTTGTGGTGTATTGTGTTTGCTCTTTGTGGAAGAGTACTAGATGAAATGGGGTCCCGCATTGATGACCTGGAAAAGTCTATTGCAGATCTAATTGAGCAGGTTGGACAATGAGACCGTTTGATGAGCTTGAGAATGTTGAGAGACTTTACGTGATTTTGCTTTGTTGTGATTGATAGACAAATGAAGATGGCATCAACAAGAACCAGGAGATGCCGGCATCTGCAGCTCAAGACAAGGTTGAGCGTGTGTAACAACCATGATGCCGTGGTACTACTTCGTATGACACGGTTGAATCCTGCCTGCCAAACATTATAACAAGCTACGAACACGACATGAATTTGATTTGCATCTCCTTATTGCAAACAGTAACTTACTTGTCGGCATTCATCCTACATGTCCGTCTAATAGAAAAACCCATAACAAAAAGCAGCTAAGTACTAACAGGACACGTGCCGTCATTATAAGCGCTAATTCCAAATTAGCTAAGCTAGACGTGCTCCATTTGTCGCTTAGTCCTTCTTGTCCTTAAACTCAGCATCGTGCACGTTATCATCTTTGTTATCATCGCTGCTGGTTGCACCCTCACCCTGCTGCGACTTGTATACGGCCTCACCAATCTTGAGGGACATTTGTTGCACTTCCTCAAGCGCAGACTTAATCTCCTCCGTGTTTTCGCCCTCCGACTTGGTGCGCAGGTTAGCCAAAGCAGCCTTGACCTTCTCCACCGTCTCGGCATCAATCTTGTCCTTGTGCTCATCCAGAGTTTTCTCCGTCGTGTACAGTGCCGAATCAGCGTCGTTCTTAGCCTCAATCAGCTCCTTGCGCTGCTGGTCCGCGGCCGCATTGGCCTCGGCGTCAGCCACCATCTTCTCGATCTCAGCCTCCGACAGTCCACCACTCGACTGAATCACGATGTTCTGCTCCTTCCCCGTCGCCTTGTCGCGGGCACCGACGTTTACAATTCCGTTTGCGTCAATATCAAAGCTCACCTCAATCTGTGGCACACCACGTGGGGCAGGCGGGATACCTACCAAGTCAAAGTTGCCCAGTAGCTTGTTGTCCGCCGCCATTTCGCGTTCGCCCTGCAGTACCTTAATCCCGACCTGTGTCTGCGAGTCAGCCGCCGTGGAAAATACTTGCGATTTCTTAGTCGGAATTGTTGTGTTACGCGGGATCAGCTTCGTGAACACACCGCCGAGGGTCTCAATGCCTAGCGACAGCGGTGTCACATCCAATAACAAAATGTCCTTGACGTCACCGCGCAGCACACCTCCCTGGATAGCGGCACCCATTGCCACCACCTCGTCCGGGTTTACTCCTTTCGATGGCTTCTTGCCGAAAAACTCCTCCACAGACGCCTGCACCTTGGGCATGCGCGACATACCGCCGACCAAAATGACTTCGTTGATATCGCTCTTCTTTATGCCAGCATCCTTTACGCACTTTTTGCACGGACCCATTGTGCGATCAATCAGCTTACCAACCAACTTTTCAAAGGTGGAGCGCGTGATCTTCATGTTCAAGTGCTTAGGACCAGAGGCATCGGCAGTAATGAACGGCAAACTAATATCTGTCTGGGCCAGGCCATCCAGTTCGCGTTTGGCCTTTTCCGCGGCCTCACGCAGACGTTGCATGGCAAGGTTGTCGCCCGATAGATCAATGCTCGTTTCCTTCCTAAACTCACCAACAAGGTAGCGCAACAGCTCCTCATCAAAGTCTTCGCCACCCAATAGCGTATCTCCATTTGTGGACTTGACCTCAAACACGCCACCCGAGATCTCCAGGATCGACACATCGAAGGTGCCACCACCCAGGTCAAATACAGCAATGACTTTGCCATCGGCTTTATCCATGCCATAGGCAAGAGCAGCAGCTGTAGGCTCATTAATAATACGCAGCACATCCAAACCTGCAATTTTACCAGCATCCTTGGTAGCTTGACGCTGTGAGTCATTAAAATAGGCCGGCACTGTGACAACAGCCTGCGTGACAGGTTTACCGAGAAACCCATCCGCAGTTTCCTTCATCTTCGTAAGTACCATCGAACCAATTTGTGATGGTGAATACTTCTTACCCTTTGCTTCAACCCAAGCATCTTTTCCATTGTTTCCTTTCACAATCTTGTACGACACAACCTTCGCTACTTCTTGGGTCTCTTTATCATCAAATTTACGGCCAATTAAACGTTTCACAGCGTAAAACGTATTCTCTGGATTGGTTACAGCCTGACGTTTAGCAGGCATACCCACAAGGCGCTCGTCATTGTCCAAAATTGCTACAACGGAGGGCGTTGTACGCGCACCTTCCGAGTTCTCAATCACACGCGCAGTCTTGCCCTCCATAACAGCCACACAGGAGTTTGTTGTACCCAAATCAATACCAATCACCTCAGACCCAGCAGCAGCAGCTGAGAACATGCGCTTAGCAGGCGCAGGAGAGCGGAAAGCGGCGAGACGTAACATTCTAACTGTCTTATAGGATCAATCTACAGCGAGTAGTGTGATGTGAGCGGTGTAAATTCACAATTGATGGCGTTTGTGGGCCAGTCGCTCGGTGTTTTTCAGTTGAAAAGGACGTTTCTATTTGCAAAGTCTCAGGGTTTATGTTAATACACAGTAAACTTAATTATTAGAGGTCTAATCACAGGTAACTTGACTCGAACCATTTGTTTGTTTCATATTCTTACAGGTCATTTAATTCTAGAATTGCTTACTTTACTAAGTAAACGGTATTTATCGACCTCTTTTTTTTTTCTGGAATGCACTCTATTTGTATTTGTTGTTAATAGATTCTTCCAGAACATTAAAGAAAGAATGATGGTCGTTTGTATGTATAATAAAGACAATTGAATTGTCACAAGTAAGAAATAAAAGGGAGTAACCAATACAAAAATGGCAGTATTGTTTGGCAAGAAGAAGGAAGGGGTGACGCTGCGTCCTCGTATACGGCGTTCAACACCGCTTATGGACGTAGGACTTGCAGTTATTTTAGGTGCTGTCACAGGTGTTTACATTTTTAAAGACACAATGCAGCGTTGGCAAGTTTCCGAAGACAAATACACGGCAACGGCCCAGAGTGATTACGCTACAACAAGACAAGACACATGAAGAAGTTGATGCATTGTTTGCTCATGGACTTTACTAGTTTGCACCATTTTACGGTCTATTGAGAGCACAAGGTTCAGTAAATTGGATTTAAGTAGTTGGGCTGAAAACTAAAAGCAGGTTATGAGCCAAGTATTGACTTTGTAATGGGTTTATTTGTTTAATTGGCTGCTGTCGTTGATATATGGCAATGAACAAGGAAGTAGCGCTTGATTATAATCATGCATTGATGTGAGATATTGCGTTTTGCATTGCGTTGCTGTCGTCCACCTTGTACTAATGATATTGTGGATGACCACTTACTTACCAATTTTACAGCTTTTGGTTTCAAGTACAAACATGCATCCAAGATTCTTACAATGCAGCTACCTTCCTCGCTCCTTTTTTGGCTTGGCGCGAGGTAGCAGTAAGGTCCTATGGTAAGTTGTCAAAGTTCGTTGGCCATCGCAAGGAGCTTGTGTATATCAACAAATTGATGAATAAGTTCAAGCTGTAGACTTTTTTGAAGATTAAACAAGCGGTTGACTTTTGAAATGGCACTTGAGTGTAAACGTTAGCTAGGACTCCATATGGTCATTATTGTCACTCCAGGTACTTCCGCTAAGCATTAATCGTCAGGTATTGTAAACTTCTACACTAATGCCGTCGTTCTGATGGCGGTCCGGCCAGGCGCACCCGTTCTCCATGACCAAATATCAGTCGAGACTGCGTAACAGACCAACAGTTCTGCAGTCCACAAGCAACGACATTCTAGCTCATATCCGTGCGCTTTCACGAGTCATTTGGCGACAGCTTTGTTCCCTACAAGTCCAAAGCCACTCTCCTGTCATCTGGCGGTGGCATCTTGGCCTTGCACTCGTCCGATCGCTTAATTGCTGTAGATTGGTAGAGAGGGAAACAGCAATACTATAATGGATAAGTACCTCGTGGGATCAAGAAAATTTTGAGGAATTGGCCGCCAAAAGGGGGGCAGAAAAATTAAGCAAAAGGTGCAGCGGAAGCTTTTGCTCATCAGGTGATAATACGCCAGTGATGCCAAATCGTAAGAAGATGTGGCATTCCGTTTGCGTGTTGACACTGAATGAGCCCTGGTGCGCGGCCTTTCTGGGCTGTTCATGCTTCGAGACGAAAGTGTAAGCCACAGATAGAGGTAAGTCTTCTGGTCATATTTTGCTGCTAGCACGCACATGCTGTAGAGCGATCCGCAATGAGGTTTAGATTGTACAGAAATGATGTAAGACAAGCTTAACTGTAGTGGCAAGAGCCAGTTGGCAGCTTTTTCAGCACAAAAGCCCAAAACGTGGAGGCTGCTGATACTCCGCTGCTTTTTCTGTTGGATTGTTTGCGGATCATGTATCCGAAGTACCGTAGCCCAGCTACTAGATGCACTAAGTGAAGATAAGGACAAGCTCTACGCTGTAGATACTTACGTCTTTAGGGCTTTTCATCCTCGCAAGGCTAGCTTTCCAATCTTATACAACCAACGTCATTATAAACCCAATATGATTGATACTGCTTACTTGCCAAGGAATATGCGCAAGCAACAAATGCGTCTCTAACCAGGTTTTGAACCAATTTATATATGTTTAATCTATCATTAATATAAACACCAGTTCTATTCTTAGTGCTAACCACTATATTGGGCTGGCTTTCTAGTCTTTCTACATATGTCGGTGTACCTAAATATTCATAGTGGTAACATTAAATTTACCTCCTCTTTGATGTGCACCACGTAGCCTTAATTCTTATACAGTCAAAGCAAAGCAGACCGTATCTCGCTTGAAGCGCTAACAGCGTCTCACCATAACATTAGATGATGCGACATTAAGGTAAGTTGGCATGTCGTCTGCATCGTCGATGGTCAGGGCTCGGTGTTTGAAAAGTAGCAATGCGTATACTGCGAAGCTAACACAAAAATCAAATATGACCAAATATGTGGAATGATGGAAAATCGCTTATAGTGTAAATGATTGCATATGAATGGACATGCTTCAGACATTATCGCATTACTCGCACATTATACGTGATAGCAACCTAACCTTGCATCGAGGAAACTACATTGATATAAGAGTGACAGAAACCATCCTATTGGCGTTGGAAAGGCTACACTGAGCTTATGGTAGGTCGAGCGATCATATTCCTGCAATCGCTGCGGCGTGACCAGCTCGTTTAAAAGGATACCAGAAGGTCTGGTATCGGTCCATCTTTCCTCCATGTATCCATGACAACCCCCAGAGCGTTTTGCCTAAGATGAAGCAGTCACGTGCAAAACTAAACACCAAGAGCGTATTGTGATTTCTCTCCAAGGTCTCCAGGAAAACCGCAAGCAATGTGCTAACTTGGTGAGTGCCGCAGATCAACAAAAAGATACAATTTCAAGGATGTGGAAGGTATGAGACTTAGGCTTGCAAATTTGAAGGGTGAAGAAGACTTGAGAAAAAGATAGTAGGAAGTAATTAAATTGCAAGAATTATTCGATCTACCAGTTTCTTACATGCAGTCTACATATAAACTACATGCAGTCACTGTAACGCAAACAAACAACGATTTAGCAAGAAGGTCTCCAACAATGGTAGACTGTACAATCTAGCCTTTCGAAGTCCTTCAAAGACGGACAAAAGGATCAAAAACAACGTGTGTTTGTATCTTTATTGGAAATTAAGCGCATGGGCTAAGCCCTTCTTGCTTTTGACCTTGAAAGGTCTAATAAAACGTGGACGTAATTTGATCTTGTATATAGTAGGCACTGCAAGTGTAGGTAGACTTCTAGAGCTTACAAAAATCTCCCAGTTCAAACTCGTGTTCGTTCTTTATGCCTTTGGCATCTGCTTTTTCCTTACCTGAACATCTTGCTTTTGGCCATAGCGTCTTTGATGCGACAAAAGAAGTCCAAAGGCGTTGAAAAAACTCTACTACATTTTTACGAATCGCAACAGGGCTTATGTCAGTCAAGTCTTCGGCTATCGCTCCCCCACTAAGACCATGTTGTTTTTATCGGGCGATTGGATTAGTAAGGTTGATCACATAGAACGGAACAAAGCATGTTGAGGCATGCGTTGCGTTGCACAACGTAAATTCAATAAGTGGGAGCATCGTAATCGATTGGTTAGGCGTTTCAGTCTAAACTCTGCGAAGCATATCACTTATAACACGATTCACGCGTTCTGTTTGACCATCGTTCTGGGGATGATCTGCCGTGGACATGTCCAGCCTAGCGCTTAGCGCCTTGAAGCTGCTCGACTCCGACATCGAGATATCCCCACACAAATGAAAATGCCCTTTCTTGCATCAAAAATCGTTCAATGTTTGCAGCCGTGTGCAATCGAAATTGTTAGCCTACAAGTGGGTGCCGTTCAAGCTTAACCCAGCATGCAAACTGACGTCAAAAGAATATCGTAGCAGTCGTCTTTTTTATCACCAGCAAAGTCATCAATGTAATTCTTTTTGAATCAATTGTGATAAGTTTGTAGCCATATGTTTACTTTTTGTTTGCGTTCACTATCATAGCGATGACTGTAATTGATGGCTTCTTAATTTTAATGTCGGACACAAACCTTCTTGTGCTTGATTGAGATATATGTAACAGCCGACAACATCTTCACGATATTTGATCAAAAAAAAATTCCCTGCGGCAGTTCACTATGAGCTTTTTCTGCTTCGAGTTTGGCACGTGACAAAGCGCCAGGGGTTCAAAAGCATGATGTATGAATGGCTTAGATTGAAACGTCATTTCGTACGGAGTACGGCCTGCACCCTTCCAATAAACGCGATTCTTCACGTAATAGAGATTTCCAAAACACTCGTCCAGAACGATTTGGGTAAACCCGACTGATGCATCATCATTTTGACCATACCAACTAGCGTCTGATGCGTTTGCTCCACAAGATTTGATTGGGTGTGCGCTTAGGCTCAACTGTTTGTGCAAATTTCCTTCTGCATGTACCAATTTTCATTATACCATTACAAAATTCTTGACCCTTGTCCGCGAGCACCTGCTTTACGGAACCAACGCTTTCATCGCGATCCACTGTACCGTAGTCAAGAGGATGGCCTCATTAACTCTTCATCTACGTTGGCGTTCTACCAATGCAATAAAGTGCTTCATAAAGATGCTCACCTTGAGTTTTATCTTCGACTTTAGTAGGTAAAACTTCAAGTAGTGCGAGAATTTGTCCATTTATAACCAGAACTGGAGAAAGTTTTAAGCTATTGTTTACCCCTGGTATTACAGGATTTGCAAACGCCATATCTTTACTATCTAAATCGACCGATCGAAAGACTTCTTGAATGTCTTGAGAGTACCCAGTTTACCGACGGCCTATAACCGTGATCCGCAGTTTTACCGACGGCCTGTGACTGTGATTCGGGTAACCCCGAACCAGCCCAATGCGGTTTACGTTTATGGTAAGGATTATGCCATGGAGTGCAGAGTGATGGTGGTTAGACGAGTAGGTTAATCGCTGTTTATCAAACCGGCAGTAAGTGAAGCAGAGACTTGAAAATCGCGGCAAAAGTTATATTGTTAGCCAGATCAAACGACTTATCATCTTTGTAAGCCAAAAAAAACTTTTAAGAGTCTTTTGCTTTTCCTTTGCCTCCGATCGTTTTCGTGAAGTGAACATCTCGAATATCAGGAAAGAAGATTGCACGAGACAAGATCGTGTACCAACAGCACGCAATCCTAGAGCCAAGGATTGCGCTACGACCATTGCCGGGGTGTTGCAAGCTTACGATCCTCTAGTAGTGGATGTACGGGTGTACTTGAATTAGTGGTAATTATATTTGTTGGCTTTATGTTCATTGAATGATCGAGATGATCGCGTTAGGAGTGAATAAAACCTGCTAGAACGCTGCGCATTCGCAATCCTCCAGCACCCAATCTTGTCGTTGACTTGAAGTATGTGTCGACTGGTGGCCGACCGCGGGTACCTGGAAGTTTTAGCCGGCGATTGCACTTAGTGGATCGTGACGGGATACTATATCCACCAGGTTGGGTGCCCATACATCGCTCTACGCTAGGAGTAGTCCATTAGCGAGCTCGACAATATCTCGAATTTTTGGGGGCAGAAATTGTACGCAAGCAGTTGTTTTGTGAGAAGGTAGCTTTGAAGGATACAGGAACAGGCGGCGGAACCCCGACAGAAAATGCAGTTGCAAGACGGGCTAGATGATATCGTAATAATCGCGGACAGCCAGATCGCGCTCAGCCTTGCGATCTACCAAGTCGCTATGCAGACGTTCGATCCAATCTTGGGCATCATTGAGCTGTTCTGCACGTGTAGATCTTTATTCGGATTGTAAGAGGATAGAATTTAGTCTAAAAGACTTACGCTTCATCTTCTTGATCTGAGTCTTCCACCGGCAGTCACTTGAATGACCGTTGATTCTGGACACCAGTTAAGGGAGGCCATCTGCCGCCAAAAATGATATTATGTGTTGTAAAAAAGGCCTGGGATCCAGCATAGACCATCAGAGGCGTGCGCTTTCTGACTTTTGATCCCGGACGTCCTCAGTCTTATCCATCAGCTTGGCGTTGTGGTGGAGTAAGTTTTCAAAACTGCGTGATGAGACTACAAACCACTCGCTGTGCCGGACTGCCGACAGTTGGAGGGGATACCCCATTGCCGCATACGGATCTTCTCTCACCTTGTGTACCCGTCGGCTGTCGGGCTGCACTCTTCGGAAGACTTGGTGAAGATGTAGATGTCGGCCATAAGAGTGGTCGAGATGAGGGTGCCTCGAGTAGATGTGCTTCACTTGGTGGGCTAGCAGGTGGCCGCTTGATCGACGTGGCCAAGGGTGGACTCATATCGAAATTTCTCAGGGAAGCTTGTCGACACTGGGCTTTTCTCGGAATTATGGATTACTTGGCCTTTATTTGCTCCCGAACCACCAGCGTAAGGAGGCTGCTTCCGGTAGCGGGTCGATTGTTCGGATAGCTTCTAGATTCAACTTTTTAGAAACCTCTGCACCAACTTTGGGCTTTGAAGTATGCACATAACGACAGAGACGAGTATGAACGTCATAGAAAGGTCCATCGTATCGTCATTAGCTGACACTATTTCTGTCGACTTTGAATCAGTAAATTAGATCGTATCTTAGTGTCAATACCATTAACTAGAGGAAAAATCATGACTTGGACGTGCGTACAATGCACGTACCAAAATACCAATGATCCAGCTCCAAATTGTAAAGCTTGCAACTCCATTCGTGTGCTTCAATGCCCTATATGTAAAAGAGAGATTAAGTCCGTTTTTGTTTGCTTCTATGTCTCTATCTTCTCTCCTTCCTATTCATCTCACATGATTCAATTCTATCTGATTAATTCAATTCCATTCATGTAGATACGGCAGACGTCTTCATGTGAATGAGAAGACTTACCATCCTGACTGCTTTTGCTGCACGGGTTGTAAAAAGCCACTACCAAGTCGCTTTCAAGTGGTGAATGGGGAAAATTATCACTTGGAATGTGCACCCAAACCCAAAGCTACTATTAAAACTACCACAACAACAAGAATAGGTGGCAGCGATGGCAAGATCATATCACAGAAAAATAACAATAACAGCAAGACAAATCTTAAGGCTAAGAGCTGTGCTACACCCGGTCATGATGCTGGTCATGGTGAGGGATGGAGATGCTCAGCCTGCACGTTTTTCAATGGTAACGACGCAGCTCCTTCATGTGGAGCGTGTGACACTGTCCGTATCATGCAGTGTCCTGGTTGTAAGGAGGAGATCAAGTACGTGATCTTGATGTTTTATCCATAGCGGTGTGATTAAGCTAGGTGCTAAACATGTTGTTGGTCCTAGATATGGACCTCGCACGAATGTCAATGGCAAGGCTTACCACCCAGATTGTTTTCGTTGCACTGCATGCCATGGAAAGTTTACAAGTAATAAGTTTCAAGTCAAAGATGGCGAGTATTACGATCATGAATGCTACAAGCAGCTATTCCACCCGCGGTCAGTGTGCAAGACTTTATTATCATCATCGGTGGACGAAGTATTATACTGACATGCGTTTGTAACTAAACTGGTGGTAAGGTGTGACGTTTGTGAGGACTTTATTCCTTACCAGCCTGGCACTCAGAAGATCTCTTACAAGGTACACTGGCTACCTATTAGCTATGTGCCATTCCGAGGCCAATGAGATGAATGACTTACATTACTGCGGTCTTTATGCAGGTGATGCCGTTTTGGGACTTAAAATACTGCGCTGAGCATGATAATTGTGATCGCTGCTGCAGCTGCCAGCGCATTGAGGTTCGTGCAAAGTATCACATAATTTTATGAGGATTGATTTCTTTGACGTGTTGCACCGTTAGCCGATTGATCCAGGCCGTCATTTTCATACTCTTACAGACGGACGAAAAATTTGCTATGATTGCTGCAAGTTTGTTGTGCTTGATTCAAATGAGGTCCTGGTTGGATAATTTGGAGCAGGGTAGTTGTATTCTGTTACTCCTTATAACTAATGTTGCTGGTGCACATGACAGGCAAAGGGCGTGGTGAAAGAAGTTTGGGCGTACATGAAGAATATCGGAATCAATCTTCCTAAGGTTCGCTAACGTGTGTACTCTATGATTACTCATTAGGATGGTAACGTGCTGCTTTGTTTTGAAAAGATCCCAGTTTATCTGGTAGAGTCTCCTGTCCTAAACGAGCATCGTAAAGCCCACAAGAAAACCGACACATTAATGCATGGTAACAATCCCGTAATAGGCCACGTGACTCGAGGCCTTTGCCTCTCGGAAGTGTCTCAAATCCAGCACATGGTCCGATCTGGAAAGCATGCGGTTCCACAAGTGACCTCCGTCGAAAAGGTCAGCAAATTACTTTGCATTGCACATGCTTCTCATTGCTACTTGCTAAGTTAGTAAAGTTTTGATGAACAGACTCGCTCGGTCAACGCTATCCTGATACTTTATGGTCTTCCGTACGACCTTACGGCTTCTGTTTTGGCTCACGAAGCTACTCATGCATTCATCAAGCTTCGCGATGACTTTCCTGATAGTATTCCGCCTAAGGTAAGCTTTGTCCTTTGTACTTTGTATCATCAGTGTGCATATTTGAACTGACAGTGCCTTTGTTTTGATTAGATTGAGGAAGGAATATGCCAGTTGATGAGCTATCTATTCCTGAAGTACAAGCACATGATGGAGCGCAAAGAGTGCAAGAAACGCACCTACGATGGTCGATTGCGTAAGTATTACATGCAACAACTCAAGAACGATTTATCTCCTGTCTACGGTGATGGTTTCCGAGAAGCTTATGTGGCCTACAAACGAGTCAACTCGTTGCAAGAGATGTTTGATGCGATTCGGCATCACGCGTCATTTCCATGAAAGTATGAAAAACCTTTCGTCAGTGTACATGGCATTCATAGGGAGTCCGAAGTCTTACTACTATACCAATTAAAGCTGTATACTGAAAGACACGAGTAGTTGATGCATACACAGCCTCTTGAAAGGCTTCCAGATCATTAATGTCAAGATGCATGTATATGCTGGTATCGTGCATTATTCAAGTCGCTGTATGATTGTTTTCCTTACCATCTCGTTTCTTTGATGCAAGAAGCGGCAGCACAAGAACGCTTTTACCAGAATGAGGTATCGATTCACCATAAAGTCCGTCCTATGTAGCATGAAATCTAACTCGCAAAGTGTTGTTTGCCTCTTTCACTAACCTTCTTTTCAATTAATCGTCGTCGTTTACCGTCCAACACTATGAAACCCCTCTACACTGCATTGCTACGAGCAATACAGCAATGCTCAACAAACAAAATGCTTCTTACAAGCAAACTCGACATGCAGCACCAAAGAGCTTCTCCCAAGACAAGCCTGACGCTTAGTCGGACGAGTTCTTCGCGAACAGGGCACGAGACTGGGCTTTACGCTTCGGGTCCGTCGCGCACGTGTTCTTGCGGTTCTTCTCCATCAATGCCTTCTTTTTCTCACCACGCAGGGCTTCGGCACGTAGCTCAGCGCGACGGGCCACCAGTGTATACGGATTGAGCTTAACCATAGCGCCCAAGTTCTTGAGCGGATTCTTCTTCTGAAAGCGACGGTGCTTCTGGTATATGCCAGCACGCACAACCGACTGGATCTCATCAGAGTTGATCAGACGGCCAAGATTAGCGTTATTCATCAAGTGACGCGGAAGCTGGTAACCAGCCTTTGAAACCGACTTCTTGGAATACGTGCCATACAAAGTGTCCAGCTTCTGGAATGCAGACTTAGTCCAGATGATAAAGCGACCAAGATGGCCACCAGGAGCAAGCTGCAGCAAGTTAAGACGCTCCACGTTGGCAAGCTCGACACCAGGAATGTTACGGAATGCTTTCTCAGCACCATTAGCGTTGGCATAAACGATCAAAGGACCACGACGCATCGTGTAGCGACGGTTGCGGGACTTGCCGCGACCAGTGGTGACCTTCTTTGAAGCTTTCACTTTCTCAACTTCAACATCAGCACCAATTTTGGCAAGAATCTTAAGAGCTTCTGTAGTCTTTTGAATAGACTCCACCGTGTCGTCAAGGACTAAAGGTACCTCTGGTATCTTGTCAATACGATGGCCACGGGCCATCACAAGAGCAGGCACAGCCGAAGCAGCAAGAGCCGATGCTACAGCAAAGCGACGCTGGTTCACGTTAATTTTGCGATGCCATTTGCGCCAAATACGTGTAGGAGCAAACATGCGACCACCACGACACATATTACCAAATGCAGCTTGTCCAGAACTCTGGTTACCTCCACCCTGAATACGAGGAATACGTGATACAGCACGACCTGTACCCCATGACTCAGCGGAATGTTGATGACCTGCTTCACGTGATACACCGTAGGCTTGACGACGATTCTTGGCCATGTTCGTGTGGACAAACTTGACCACATCTGGACGAATAGGGGACGTAAACACAGCAGGAAGTACCACTTGTGAAATGACAGTACTCTTCTCACCGTCAATAGAGAGCACAGACACAACAGGACGTTTAGCAGCAAGAGAGGCCATGAGAAAAAGACACGATAGAGAGGAAGTGTAGACGAATGCTCAGCTTACGGCGACAAATCTAAGACTGAGGACGCATTTAGCTTAAACAACGTAGCAGAGCCAGTCATTTTAGGTGTAGTCACTTAAGCGAGGGAAAGGGGGAACTCGATTAAGGTGTTTTATATGTGAAAGATCAAATCCATTACCAGATCTGAAGGGTAGATTGATATTAAAGCTTTTGGCGTTGCAGTTACTTCATGCAACTACTACTCGATCTAAGGAATGCTACCTACTTTCCAAGTAAGTAATCATCGCATTACCGAAGTAAATAGCCCGTTCATAGAAGATACTAGCGTTGATAATGATTTAATCACTTCTAGTTGTTTATCCCATTTTGGTATAAAAAATCGTTTGTAGAAAGCAGCTATAACATACAGGATACAGTGAAGCACCTTCTAGTCATACCTTCTCGGCTTTTTTAGCTAAAATCAAGTGTAGTGAAGGTTTATAGAATAGTGGTGGGGTGTATCAAATTTCTTCATGAATTTTATTTCTTGGTCTAAACGTTTTTGGTTGCGGACCGTGCCGCGCTTCGTAAGCGGCTCCTTGCTCCACAGGAGTCTACGATGAAATTGTATCAGGAACGACTGTCACGGCAGTCATGTGGAGTGCCGGTCATCCACTGAACGACATACCAGTAGTGCTTGCACCAGGTGAGACATCTGCGCAACATGATCACCAGTTCACCCGTTGGGTTGAACGAGCGTGTAAGCTCCCAAGTCTTTATGAGTTGCACTTAAGCGCTAAATAACAAGACGTTTGGTTAGAACGTCGTCTACGTTTTATTTTCGTTAAGATCAAAGCAAAATAAGCGCAAATTATCTTCCACATACAAGTCAAAGACTTGTGGGGGTCAAGCTTCTAAAGCTGTTGCCCGTACCTCTCACGCAAGTGGTTTACCGGCGTCGGCTTCTTCAGAAGGTCAGAGGCAAAGCCGGCCAACTGGTCTTGCTTCTACAGCACCTAGTGCTAGGAAGCGGGTCGACGACGGCTGCCGTCACTTCTGACCATCCTGGCCAAAAGCGTCAACGGCGTCAGGGAAATCCTGCCGAAGGGGTACCTCATACTCCCACGAGTCGTACGACTGGGGATAACCCCTCCACTTCACCAGATATTGGGTATGGCCCTGGTGGCTACGTTGAGTCAAGAGGAGCTCAACGTGGAATTGTTGATGACCCAGTTCATCAACCAGCGTCGGCGGGTGTAGGTGACCCATGGACCCATGATCTCTCTGAGATAGATCGTCGACTGACAAATCCTGGAGCGTGATGGTCTTAGGTCAGTGACCTTTTGACCCATGATCTCTCTGAGATCGAGCGTCTCCCCGAAAAATCCTGGAGCGTGATAATCTTGGGTCGGGGACGTCTCACCTGTCATCGATCGATGACCGTGTCGATCGACACCGTCGAACCTTTGAGCGTTATAGCCCTGAGACCTCTGACTGCTTAGTGGCTATGGAGCGTTCTCAAGCCGATCTTTTTTTGTTGTCAACTTGATCTCATGGTTTGCTTCCATTCCTCACATGCACCTCCGGTGGCGTACTACCGGGATATGGGGACAACCCATCTAAGTCCACTGAGGATGTGGTCAGATATGGCTTGAGGAAGCTTACATATAACTTAGGGTGTGTTCGTATTTTGTTCGGAAGGTTCAGCGTACAGGCTAAACCTTTCTTGCCTATGACCTTTTAAGATCCAATGAAACGTGGCCGTAATTTAGTTTTATATACCGCCGAGACGGCACGGGTAGGTAAATTCCTAGCGTTTAATAAAACTAAACCACCAACGTTGAACTCATGATCGTTTTTTTCTGCCTTTGGCATCTGTATGTTCCTTTGGAACATCCTGGCTTTCAGCCATAGCGTCTTTGACGCGACGTAATACGTCAAAACGCGTTGACAGAAACGCTTCCACCTTTTTGCGCATAGCAACAGGACTGATATCAGCCAAGCTTTCGACTATCTGTCCCCCATTAAGCCCTGATGTGGCAGGGAGTAGCGTTAATGGAACGAGAGGGTTGACCAAACCATTTACATAGAATGGGGTGAAGCCTGTCGAGGCATGCACCGCGTTATTCAACGCAAACTATATGAGAGGGAGCATCGCGCTCCATTGCTTGGGTGTTTTAGCACAAAAACTGCGAAGAATATCGCAATAACGCGGTTGACGCGTTCAGTCTGACCATCGGTCTGCGGATGATCCACCGTGGACATGTCCAGTCGAGTGCCGAGCACTTTAAAGACGGACGTCCAAAATTGACCCGTAAAACAGGGGCCTCTATGCGAGACAATTGCCACAGGCAATCCGTGTTGTCTAAACACACGATCCATGAACAGTTTAGCTGCTCCTTCTCCATCAATGGAGTCTGGCACTGCCGCTAAGTGGGCCATCTTGCTCAGTCGGTCAACAAAAACCACAATCTTAGTGTTGCCTGCCGCATCACGCGGTAGGCCAACCACAAAGTCCATACTAGTGGACTGCCACAACCCCGAAAGTACAGGCAAACGCTCCAAAGGCGCAGCCATACGAGGCAAGGGCTTCACCCTTGGACACAATTCACACGTGCGTACGTAGGTACGACCCATTTATCAACTTGGGCGGTCTCAGGGCTATAACGCTCAAAGGTTCGACGGTGTCGATCGACACGGTCATCGATCGATGACAGGTGAGACGTCCCCGACCCAAGATTATCACGCTCCAGGATTTTTCGGGAGACGCTCGATCTCAGAGAGATCATGGGTCAAAAGGTCACTGACCTAAGACCATCACGCTCCAGGATTTGTCAGTCGACGATCTATCTCAGAGAGATCATGGGTCCATGGGTCACCTACACCCGCCGACGCTGGTTGATGAACTGGGTCATCAACAATTCCACGTTGAGCTCCTCTTGACTCAACGTAGCCACCAGGGCCATACCCAATATCTGGTGAAGTGGAGGGGTTATCCCCAGTCGTACGACTCGTGGGAGTATGAGGTACCCCTTCGGCAGGATTTCCCTGACGCCGTTGACGCTTTTGGCCAGGATGGTCAGAAGTGACGGCAGCCGTCGTCGACCCGCTTCCTAGCACTAGGTGCTGTAGAAGCAAGACCAGTTGGCCGGCTTTGCCTCTGACCTTCTGAAGAAGCCGACGCCGGTAAACCACTTGCGTGAGAGGTACGGGCAACAGCTTTAGAAGCTTGACCCCCACAAGTCTTTGACTTGTATGTGGAAGATAATTTGCGCTTATTTTGCTTTGATCTTAACGAAAATAAAACGTAGACGACGTTCTAACCAAACGTCTTGTTATTTAGCGCTTAAGTGCAACTCATAAAGACTTGGGAGCTTACACGCTCGTTCAACCCAACGGGTGAACTGGTGATCATGTTGCGCAGATGTCTCACCTGGTGCAAGCACTACTGGTATGTCGTTCAGTGGATGACCGGCACTCCACATGACTGCCGTGACAGTCGTTCCTGATACAATTTCATCGTAGACTCCTGTGGAGCAAGGAGCCGCTTACGAAGCGCGGCACGGTCCGCAACCAAAAACGTTTAGACCAAGAAATAAAATTCATGAAGAAATTTGATACACCCCACCACTATTCTATAAACCTTCACTACACTTGATTTTAGCTAAAAAAGCCGAGAAGGTATGACTAGAAGGTGCTTCACTGTATCCTGTATGTTATAGCTGCTTTCTACAAACGATTTTTTATACCAAAATGGGATAAACAACTAGAAGTGATTAAATCATTATCAACGCTAGTATCTTCTATGAACGGGCTATTTACTTCGGTAATGCGATGATTACTTACTTGGAAAGTAGGTAGCATTCCTTAGATCGAGTAGTAGTTGCATGAAGTAACTGCAACGCCAAAAGCTTTAATATCAATCTACCCTTCAGATCTGGTAATGGATTTGATCTTTCACATATAAAACACCTTAATCGAGCCCCTTACCCCCTCGCTTAAGTGACTACACCTAAAATGACTGGCTCTGCTACGTTGTTTAAGCTAAATGCGTCCTCAGTCTTAGATTTGTCGCCGTAAGCTGAGCATTCGTCTACACTTCCTCTCTATCGTGTCTTTTTCTCATGGCCTCTCTTGCTGCTAAACGTCCTGTTGTGTCTGTGCTCTCTATTGACGGTGAGAAGAGTACTGTCATTTCACAAGTGGTACTTCCTGCTGTGTTTACGTCCCCTATTCGTCCAGATGTGGTCAAGTTTGTCCACACGAACATGGCCAAGAATCGTCGTCAAGCCTACGGTGTATCACGTGAAGCAGGTCATCAACATTCCGCTGAGTCATGGGGTACAGGTCGTGCTGTATCACGTATTCCTCGTATTCAGGGTGGAGGTAACCAGAGTTCTGGACAAGCTGCATTTGGTAATATGTGTCGTGGTGGTCGCATGTTTGCTCCTACACGTATTTGGCGCAAATGGCATCGCAAAATTAACGTGAACCAGCGTCGCTTTGCTGTAGCATCGGCTCTTGCTGCTTCGGCTGTGCCTGCTCTTGTGATGGCCCGTGGCCATCGTATTGACAAGATACCAGAGGTACCTTTAGTCCTTGACGACACGGTGGAGTCTATTCAAAAGACTACAGAAGCTCTTAAGATTCTTGCCAAAATTGGTGCTGATGTTGAAGTTGAGAAAGTGAAAGCTTCAAAGAAGGTCACCACTGGTCGCGGCAAGTCCCGCAACCGTCGCTACACGATGCGTCGTGGTCCTTTGATCGTTTATGCCAACGCTAATGGTGCTGAGAAAGCATTCCGTAACATTCCTGGTGTCGAGCTTGCCAACGTGGAGCGTCTTAACTTGCTGCAGCTTGCTCCTGGTGGCCATCTTGGTCGCTTTATCATCTGGACTAAGTCTGCATTCCAGAAGCTGGACACTTTGTATGGCACGTATTCCAAGAAGTCGGTTTCAAAGGCTGGTTACCAGCTTCCGCGTCACTTGATGAATAACGCTAATCTTGGCCGTCTGATCAACTCTGATGAGATCCAGTCGGTTGTGCGTGCTGGCATATACCAGAAGCACCGTCGCTTTCAGAAGAAGAATCCGCTCAAGAACTTGGGCGCTATGGTTAAGCTCAATCCGTATACACTGGTGGCCCGTCGCGCTGAGCTACGTGCCGAAGCCCTGCGTGGTGAGAAAAAGAAGGCATTGATGGAGAAGAACCGCAAGAACACGTGCGCGACGGACCCGAAGCGTAAAGCCCAGTCTCGTGCCTTGTTCGCGAAGAACTCGTCCGACTAAGCGTCAGGCTTGTCTTGGGAGAAGCTCTTTGGTGCTGCATGTCGAGTTTGCTTGTAAGAAGCATTTTGTTTGTTGAGCATTGCTGTATTGCTCGTAGCAATGCAGTGTAGAGGGGTTTCATAGTGTTGGACGGTAAACGACGACGATTAATTGAAAAGAAGGCTAGTGAAAGAGGCAAACAACACTTTGCGAGTTAGATTTCATGCTACATAGGACGGACTTTATGGTGAATCGATACCTCATTCTGGTAAAAGCGTTCTTGTGCTGCCGCTTCTTGCATCAAAGAAACGAGATGGTAAGGAAAACAATCATACAGCGACTTGAATAATGCACGATACCAGCATATACATGCATCTTGACATTAATGATCTGGAAGCCTTTCAAGAGGCTGTGTATGCATCAACTACTCGTGTCTTTCAGTATACAGCTTTAATTGGTATAGTAGTAAGACTTCGGACTCCCTATGAATGCCATGTACACTGACGAAAGGTTTTTCATACTTTCATGGAAATGACGCGTGATGCCGAATCGCATCAAACATCTCTTGCAACGAGTTGACTCGTTTGTAGGCCACATAAGCTTCTCGGAAACCATCACCGTAGACAGGAGATAAATCGTTCTTGAGTTGTTGCATGTAATACTTACGCAATCGACCATCGTAGGTGCGTTTCTTGCACTCTTTGCGCTCCATCATGTGCTTGTACTTCAGGAATAGATAGCTCATCAACTGGCATATTCCTTCCTCAATCTAATCAAAACAAAGGCACTGTCAGTTCAAATATGCACACAGATGATACAAAGTACAAAGGACAAAGCTTACCTTAGGCGGAATACTATCAGGAAAGTCATCGCGAAGCTTGATGAATGCATGAGTAGCTTCGTGAGCCAAAACAGAAGCCGTAAGGTCGTACGGAAGACCATAAAGTATCAGGATAGCGTTGACCGAGCGAGTCTGTTTATCAAAACTTTACTAACTTAGCTCCTTGCTGGAGAGAAGTGGTCATAGCGACGTAGTACATCGACATTAGTATTTATTGATGTCATGACCACAGACTGCAGCTCTCAACGTAAACCAACGTACTTTACCAAGTAGGCTCTACCAAGTAATCCAGATCACGCTTGACTTGAGGTGAAAAGTGCCCACTGCATTAACCTGGCGTCTACATTTAACTATGACATCGGCAGTTGTATCATGGTAATTTGCAAACTTGCAGCCCCATCGGACACTCGGTTCGTACTCCAGTCGTTCCTAACTTGACGACGAGTAGTATGTGAATGATAAGTTACTTCGCCGTACCGTGAGAGAAGATCTGACGCTATTCGCGTAGCAGCAAGACTAGCGAGAAGATGCTGAAAAGGCGTCATACGGGCGCAAGAAATCTTTCAATCAATTGGATGGATGGTCCAGCATCTGCATGTGAAATCAGATCAAGTGCCTCAACGCCACAAACTAGATAGGAGGAGACCAAACCAAGTCAATAGTGCAGCAAAGCGTAGCAAATCAGGGCCAGTGATGCTAAGTCATGGAAAGATTGTGGTAGTGTCTCATACAAAGCATCTAACGTAAATGCATCGACAAAAGACTTTGGTTGATGTTTGGAATCATTGGATACTACAAAGTTGACTCAGATTTCAGTGGATCAACTTGCATATAGCGCTGCCACACGATATCTCGATTTCTCCTCATTTCCAGATTTCCGAAATCGATAACAAAACCTCTTTCAACGATTCAATCCAATTCAATTGACAGTCATGTCCACGGATTTGAAATTCCCTACAAACTTTATGTGGGGCACAGCTACTGCGTCCTATCAGATTGAAGGCGCTGTAAATGAAGGTGGACGTGGTGACTGCATTTGGGACGCTTTCTCGCGTACACCAGGTAAGATTGTGAATGGCGATACAGGTGAAAAAGCGGTGGATCATTATCATCGCTATAAAGAAGATGTACAGCTTATGAAGAAGATGGGACTCGAGTTCTATCGATTCTCCATTGCTTGGCCACGTATCATTCCTGCTGGAATTGGTAAAGTTAACGAGGAGGGCGTCGAGTTTTACAATAATCTGATTAATGAACTACTGGCTAACCACATCACACCATTGGTGACGCTGTACCATTGGGATCTACCATTGGCACTGCAGACCGAGTACGATGGTTGGCTAGGAGGCAGATTTATCCAGGATGCCTTTACGCAGTATGCACGTGTGTGTTTTCAACGTTTTGGGGACCGGGTGAAAAACTGGCTGACACTGAATGAGCCCTGGTGTGCGGCCTATCTGGGCTATGGCACTGGTGTTCACGCTCCAGGACGTAAGTCTAAGCCACAGATAGAGGCGTATCTCTCTGGTCATAATTTGTTGCTGGCCCACGCACGTGCTGTGGAAGCGTACCGCAACGAGTTTCAAGCCATACAAAAGGGAAGGATTGGAATCACACTTAACTGTGACTGGCGTGAACCAGCACCGACAGATGACCCAACGCAGAAGGCTGAGAACGAGGAGGCTGCTGAACGCTCGCTGCTTTTTTCCCTTGGATGGTTTGCTGATCCAGTATACAAGGGAGATTACCCGCAAGTTATGAAGGACCGCTGTGGACTTCGTCTACCAAAATTTACCGAAGAGGAGAAGAAGTTGATGAAAGGTAGCTCCGACTTCTTTGGCCTGAATCACTACGGACTCAACTACGCTGAGCCATCGGACGAATACAAGTCCAAGATCCCTCCGCCAAATGACAGCACTGGTGGCTTTGGACCTGACGAGGGAACAAAACTGACGTCAGATGACTCGTGGAAGCGCACAGACATGGGCTGGAATGCCGTTGGTTGGGGCTTTCAGAAACTGTTGGTCTGGATTCAAAAGCGCTATGCAGTCCCAAATGGTATCTGGGTCACGGAGAACGGATGCGCCTGGCCGGACCGCACCAAGGAAGAGGCTCAGACTGACGACTTCCGTGTGGAGTTTTACAAGGAATATCTTACCGGTCTGCACAATGCTTTGGCGGAAGGTGCAGATGTGCGTGGATACTTTGCTTGGTCTTTTGTGGACAACTACGAGTGGGCTGAGGGTTACTCGAAGCGATTCGGGTTGCACTGGGTCAACTATGAGACGATGGAGCGTACGCCCAAGAAGTCAGCGCTTTGGTACGGCGATGTCATCCGCAACAACGGATTCACTACTTGTCAGCTACGAGGTTAGTTTGACCTGAAGGCCTAGGCATTTGAGGTTTGAGCATAGCGAAAGAGTTTTCAAGGCTAGGCGATTGATTCTGGCATGTGAAAGTAGCAATTTCTATATGGAAGCACCTTCCAGCATTCATACATATATAACTCGAGCAACGATGGAAAAACTGCAGAGCTACACAACATGATAATCTCAATTACATGTTTCGTCTCCATTGATGTCGATAGATTGGATTCACTCATTAACTTACAAGCAAACAGCCTTGAGCTATTTGATGACCAGACCAACTACTTTCTACTATCGGGCACTACTCTATGCCTCCGTGGCAAGTCGAAGGTGCAGTGAATAAAGGAGTATCAAGCGCATGCTTACCCACTGGGAAGACCACAAACTATCAACCGTCTTCTTGGCAAATCACAATATCACCACTACATGAGCGGACACAGCTCTAATGAAGTTCGTAAGTCCAAAAGCCTACTACTGATCTCAGTTGTAAGCGTAGCCAAGCAGAAGAGGCACTCGCCAACAACCCGTTCGTTTCCAATTTGCACTAATGCTGTCAACCAACAGCTTCGATATTGTGCACACTAGAAAACAAAAAAGATCATTGCAAGGTTAATCACAAACATCTTTGCATTTACATTTGTATTGCAACTGCTGTCCATCTAAAAAGCAAGGTGCAGTGTCGGAGCATTGTACGTAACAGGAATCTCGACTAGATTTTCACTCATCTAGTCCTCATGACGTTGTGCCTTGACCAACTGCTTCTTCATTGCATGAAAACGTAGTAGCATCCTACACAAAGAGCAACAAATCAAGCACAAGCACAAGCACAACAACAACAAACATGGTCACAATTCTCCATTCGTCTAGAATGAAAACCCCACACCTCTTTTACACACCAATAAATGGTAAAAGTAAGAGCACTGATCCACCAGTTTCTCTCCGATCGCCAGCGTGAAGCCTTTTTCTACGTGAAAACACAAGAAGAAGAAGACAATTATCCATAAGACGCAAGACAATAACTTTTTCCATCCACCACTGTATCTCTAGCACTTGTATGAACCTGTAGATCAGCTGAATAATGGGCTTCAATGTGTGGATCAGAATGCATTGAATAACGTTTCTGTAGATCATAAGTTTGAGCTACGAGGACGACAAAAGAAACGGCCGTAATGACAGAAAAAATGCTCAATGTTCCAATGCGAATGTTGAATACAAAGTCGCCAAACTTGACAACACCACGATTTAGCATAAGACTTGGAAGAGGAATTGTCATTAAGAGTAGTCTATTTCATAGTGTCAAAAACGGATAATATCCATAGGAACAGTGAGTATATAAAGATAACGTATTGGTATGATAAAGGATCCGATTCTCATGTAAGAAATATACGTACAGAATGACTGCAGGCGGTAGTAAGACATAGGTGAACGATGACCACATCGACGCCATATTGAGCACAGGAGTGGACAAGAAGAGGAAGTAGAACGAGAGGAGGGAGGTGAGTTTGGCTTATGAGTGAAGATATTTTTGAGTTTTGGATAAAAACGATCTTTGGATTTTGAGGTCAAATGATTTCGATCCGGATTTCATGAAAAGTGGATTTTATCAACCTCGTGGACGTTAAAAATAGGGCATCAGCTACATTCAAGACACCTACTAGATATTGTTCCACTTTTGTTGAAGTAGTTCTAAGAAGCGATATCTTGCTACATGGGACAAGGGGTAGGAAGTCACAAAGCACGTGTAAACGGTATGAAATAACAGCTAATTAAGGGTTATGGAAGCTACTTTTGTTAGTGGTGTAACATGTAGCGCTCCGTGCGTTGAGCAGCTTTCGTACGTACATTCTACTGCGTCAAGTATTAGTAAAGACGAACAAGAGGAGAATACTAGCAACATTCTGTTACAAAAGGCTGAAGAGAAAGCAGAAGCAGAAGCGGCAGTAGATGCAGAAGCAGATGCAGAAGGATTGCCACTTCGACTTGGTGACGTTCCCAATATATATCATTGGCGTCAGATTGGATTACTAATCCAATATGCAGCAGTAGGAGTATTGTACGGTGGATTACCTCGTACCATCTATCCGTTTTTAAATAATTATTTGCACTTGGATGGGTATCAGACACTATCAGCACGTGTATTGCTCTCACTTCCTTGGTCGTTTAAAGTTGTGATTGGAATTGTATCAGATTGTTTTCCCATATTACATTCTCGTCGTCGTGCGTACATGATTGTCGGGTGGATCGTATGTTCAAGCATGCTACTAGTGCTCGTTTTTGTCAATCAAGAGCCGCCATTCTATATCGACTCTAGTTTACGAGGGAAAGACCTTTCCAAACTATCTCTTCATGATCTGATAGGACGAGTGAACTGGCACGCACCACACTCGGGATCTCTTTACATTGTGCTCATGATGCTCGCTAGTTTGGGCTATATGATTGCCGATGTCGCTTCTGACGGTCTTGTGGTTGAATTTGCACAGCGTGAGCCAGAAAACATTCGTGGCAATATCCAGTCGACCGTATACCTCGTACGCAGTATGGCAATGATTCTGGCAGCTTTACTGGTTGGATTTGGCCTGAACGGTCAAGATTATGGAGGATCGTTCACGTGGACATTGACAATGAGCCACCTAATGCTGATCTTCTCGCTGCTAAGCTTAGCGGCGATCCCTGCTGCACTATGGCTAGTACAGGAGCCGTCATTAGGTGACCGTGTACCGTATTTTACTGAGTATATGCGTAGTCTGTGGGTACTGATCCAGAACTCCGCTGTTGTGCAGATCTTGGCTTACAGATTCTTTAGCGGGATCTTTGATGGCTTCACAATTACTGCTGGCGACCCAATCCAGCGATACTGGGCTCGAGTGCACCCGCTGAATGAGAGTTTATTTTCCGTACTTGGGCTTGCTGTATTCAGTGCAGCACTGTATGTAACCAAGCGCATTGGGTTGGGTTGGTCTTGGCGACGTGTCATTGCATGGACGACAGTCTCTGTGATAGCTATGGATGCAATCGTGGGCATGCTGACCATTTGGGACGTGGTGCGAAGCCAGTGGTTTTGGCTAGGCACACCAATTTTGGAAGAGCTACCACAAGCCATGAACTTTCTCGTATCGACATTTGTCGTCGTGGAGCTAGCCGAGCTTGGGAATGAAGCTGCTGTGTATGGACTGCTGACAACTGTGAGCAATTTGTCAAGTCCATTTTCGTCTTGCATATCCAAGAACGTCAATGCGTTATTTGATGTAACAGTGACAGACATTATCTATGATTCAATACACGTGCGTTGGCAAGTTACGTGGACATTTGTGATTGCATATAGCATGAAGTTGCTCTCACTTGCGTGGTTACCATTACTTCCTCGTCAAAAACGCGAAACTCAATTGCTCAAGAGACGTGCTCGTTTGTGGTTGTGGGGAGGTGTTGGAAGCATTTCCATCTTTCTCTTTGCTTTCTTGTGGTCAATTACGACAAACCTCTTATCGATTTTTCCAAACACTGCTTGTCTAGTCCTCGCTGGTGGTTCTGGATGCAAGAAGTAACAATTTTATTGCATTTTCTTGTCAGTTGATGCAGTTATTAGCCAATGAATGCGGTCTATTTTATCTAAATAATGTCCAAGCGATTTCAGTATTATATCCTCTACGAGCAGCTCCATCCGATCATACGTCTCGAGATGTTACGTCTCTTGCCCGTTTCCGTCGTCCATACAGCGTTTCGACAGCATCTACGTGCACTTCAGACTGTAGCTCATCGTCCAGTGTCTTACACACGCACTTTCACATCGACACGCTTTTGTTTGAATCCGGAAAAGGTGACACACTTCTGTTAATCATTTGCTCTTGACAGAAAAAACAATGTCCTAGTTTGTATGCGTTGAGCTTTTAATGACTGAATTGCACCATTGTATGATTGAACATTGGAACAAAAGCCAGCTACTCAGGCTTTTAAGGATGGACAGAAAGCCCCGGATGCACTAGTTCTCTCACCCTACGAGAAAGTGACGGCAACTGCCACTGGTGGCTTCTGGCTCGGCCTTATTGGTCTCGGTGCTGTTGGAGTTTACTTTGTTGCACGTGAACTTCTGCCAAAGTACGTGCCTGAAACTCTATAAAGCTTTTAACATACGCAACGGTTGCTAACAACTTATTTTGGTGGTATGCAGCCGAATGAGCCCGAACGGCCTCTTCAGTGAGTCGCTGGACTTTATTTCAGAAAACACAGATGTAGGTTGATGCAGACGACAGTAGTAGCTGCCTGGACAAAAGAGCGCTGGACTGACAATGTTGTGGAATTATATAATGTTAGGTAACTTCGCGTCTAGGTTTGCCGATTCACGGCTACGGACATGATCATGGTGGCCATCGTGAAGGCCGTCGTAACCGCATTGAGCACGTAAACCTTACAGCTAAGGACGGCACTCCACGTCTCCGGATCAAGTATAACATCAAGGGACCCTCAGGTCACGCCTACGTGTTTGCCGAGGTGAACAAGGGCATGAAGAAGAACGAGTACGTGTACCTTATTGTACAGGTAACGAAGACGGGTGAGCTACTCAAGATTGTTGACAACCGACAGATTCTTTCAGCTGAGACAAAAGAGGAGCAAGATGCTCTTCGCCAGTTGCTTGGCAAGTAGTAACCACTCACGATGAAATGAGTCGGCTTTCAAGCTGCTTTTGGCTTGGATTGCTATAATTCGTTAGTAAAGCAGATAAAGGCAGATTTTTTCCACTTTCGAGTATGGATCTGTATGCTGCTGCTCTTTTGGTCCATATGTATTCGCCATTGGCTTGACTATTGCTGTCTATATAGATAATTGTATACCATGAAGGGGTGTAATGCGTCTCGATAATGCTGTTGCCTGATAAAGCCAATCTTTTGTTACTTCAGCGTCACGTCACTTCAGCTGTTTTGTTTCGATAACATAAGAAGCACTTTACTCCTAATTAAGACTTAAATATTAGAAATGGCGGATGACTTTGAGTCGCCATGGGTGGAAAAGTACCGGCCGCGTGTGTTGGCAGAAGTCGTAGGAAACCGTGAGACAATTGCAAGTCTACAAGCAATGGCTCAAGCAGGAAACATGACGAATTTGATTCTTTCCGGTCCACCAGGCACAGGCAAGACCACAAGTATCTTGTGTCTTGCACGCGAGCTCCTGGGTCCGAGCGTTAAGCAGGCGGTGCTTGAGCTCAACGCATCTGATGATCGTGGTATCGATACAGTGAGAAATAAGATCAAGATGTTTGCACAACAAAAGGTGACGCTGCCGCCGGGCCGTCACAAGATTGTGATTCTGGACGAAGCGGATTCCATGACGGCCGCGGCTCAGCAAGCGCTGCGACGGACGATGGAGATTTTCTCGGCCACCACTCGATTTGCGCTAGCATGTAACAATTCTACCAAAATTATTGAGCCAATTCAAAGTCGATGCGCAATATTGCGCTATACGCGGCTACATGATGAGATGCTACTGCGTCGTTTGCTGACGGTTTGTGAGAAAGAGAACGTCGGGTACAAGGAGGAAGGTCTCGCTGCTCTCATTTTTACAGCGGAAGGAGATATGCGTAATGCATTGAACAATCTACAGGCTACAGCCAGTGGTTTTAACTTTGTCAGCGACGAGAATGTGTTCAAGGTCTGTGACCAGCCACATCCAGCAGTAGTGAGGGAGATCTTGAATCAGTGTGCAAAGGGGGAATTGGATGGAGCGGAGAATCAGGCGATTAAGCTCTGGAAGAGTGGATACTCGTCACTGGATATCATTGGGACTATCTTTAGAGTGTGCAAGGCGCTGCCAATGAAAGACGAGAAGCTGAAGCTTGAGTTCATCAAACTCATCGGAATGACGCACATGTGCATTGCTGATGGAGTCTCAACTCTACTGCAGATCCATGGCCTTGTTGCACGATTATGTTCTGCAGCGTTGGCTACGAAAACAGAAGGTTGAAAGCAAACAAATAGATATGACATCGGATTGACAAGTGAGACTTAGGCATATCTACATGCAACACCTCATAGTGACGCTAATCAGAGCAGTCTCTGATGCTGAATCAATTGGTGTTAACGGGGAGAAATAACAAATCTGTTGACATTTAGACATTTAGCATGCCGACAAAAATGGGTCGCTACCACAAGCGAAAAATTAGCTTTTGGGTTTTCAACTGACACCATTTCTAACGTTTCTACTCTCGACTTTATCTAACCCACGAGATAATTTCTAACCATGGACGCACTGCAGAACGTGCTACGGCCAGGTAGTCGCGAGTTCGTGGTCGTATTGAACATTGTCCTGTTGCTCCTGTTTTTCGTGATGCTGACAGTTATTTACACGGAGATGGAGGACTCATTTCACGTGTTTGTGCTGCTATTTCTCGTAATGGGCCTCACGGTATCCATTAACTGGTTCATCATCAAGGCCAACAACCTCCAACACTCGCTAGTAGCAAACAGCAACAACAAGCAGCAATCATTCCTCAATGTAAGATCCAAGACGGATTAAATCTCATTTGTATCTCAATCAAGGCATATGATACTAGAAGACCAGTTGATCTACAATCATTAAGAGACTTTTTGTCTGTGTGACTGCATCCTTGTTTCATTTCATTAGAACAGACTACCACATGTCAGTAGCTCCTTATGTTTTCTTTTGTATCTCTCTGTCTCATACATCGTCATCTGTCGCTAGTCCAATAGAGCGTTTGCAACAGCCAATTGCAATACTGCGGCCATAGGGAATATAAGACAGTGTGTACCATACAAGAGCTAGAAATTGTACCAGTAATGATAGAAACACTAGCAAAAGCCGATGGTGGATATGAGTGTGGGAGAAACACAGCAAGAGCGTCACGAAAATAAAGACGACGTAGACGACTGCAGAGTACCGACGTTTGGAATGAAACATTGTTTGCACCTGTTTCCACGGCCCTACAAAGAACATAGTACAGCCAATCGACAATAGATTCCCGATCGTATAAGCAATGGCAAATGGTGCGGGATTACCATGCACTAATTTTGCCAGACGAAAGGTCGAGCCCAGGGACAGCACAAAGCCCAGCATGAAACACGTCATACAGCCAATGAGACGCTCCTGATACGATAGACGTGGACATAACGAGTAGTTACTTGTAGAAGTAGGTAAAGATTGTGTAGGTTGATGATCCTCTGGGTCCAGCAGCTTCTGCTTCTGTGCTCGCAATGCATCCATCATTATCATACCAAGCAGCAGTTTGAATCGTGTCAAATGCTTTACTATTGTTGCTTTGCAAAAGTTGAGTTGCCTGTAGATGCAACAGAACAACAGTAGCAACATAAAGCAAGCATATGTTGCTTTGAAACAAATCTGATTCCACCACGTTTCTGCCAATCATATCATCACCTTGCAACACGACCTTCCCGCCATACAAACCCTGTCACTTGCCATGCGTCCGCTACTACAGGAAGCACCTTTTGCATGTTTCGAGAACGACGAGGACGCTTCATTTCTACCAAGCTTTATAATATTAAGCCCTTCAGTGCGCTTGCCGCCACTAAAACGCTTTGCTCGTGGTAATAATCGCCATCTAAATAGACCTCATGAGCTTGTACCCATTTCTAACGTATTTCTATTGATTCTCACATATCTGTCATTTCTAATGCTATAATTTACCTCTATGTATTTATATAGTCTGCACATTCGAATGCAGTGGATCTGGCAGTTTTTTTTTCAACACGAATGTTTACGTGATCGTTTCATCTGTTGGCGTGTGCTTAAAAACGTGGTTTTATTCCGTGAATGGAGTTTAAACACAACGTTAAAACAAAACGCTATTCGATTGGAATTTCCTGCTCCTGTCATTTCGACTGGTATTTATACAGTGGAAAGCTGGACAGACGAAGCAGTGACGATCAATGTCGTGACACATGGTGGTACAATCCATCGGTTGACGTATTCAATACCAAGTGGAAATGATTCAAGTATTTTTTCACAAGCAGATGCTCAAGCTTTTCCAGACCCAAAACCAGCTACTTGGAGTCATTGTGATGTAGTACAGAGTCTACATAGTGATGAGATGGTAACAGTTGCTCTATGGATAAATGAGTATAATCTCGTCTTAGGCACAGATGCAGGACGTGTGCTTGGAATGAACTTTGGACTCCCTCCTACGGATACGAAAAACCTGCAAGAATTTATATTTTCGGACGAATCCATCGTGAGTTGGATCTGGCATGGAATAATTAAATCTACAGCAGCCAAGTTAAAGAATAGTATAAAGGAGGAAGATCGAAAAGATGTTCGTGCAGCAGTTGTAGCAATGACGTGTTTTCAGATTGACGGAGAGGAAGATGATGACGGACAGGCAAAAGACGTTTGCGTGGTCACAATCTCGGCTGATTGTGTACTGAAAGTATGGAGTTTCTGCTCTCAGTCGTGTTTAGGCCACCAGGAGCTCCGGAGGTTGAAGATGTTGACTAAATATGATGACAATGAAGAGGAAAATGAGGAAGCAGGTTGGAATGACGAGGATATGGATAGTGATGACGAATTGAGCAGCAGTGGCACCTATGTCACTCATGCCAAGGTTGTTGCACTGACCCCGACGGAATCGGATAATTGCAGATTAATGGTGCATCTGGATACTACAGCGGCACACTCATCTGAAATTTTTTTGCTAAGAGGTGACGTGCAGCTTTCTGCTGTCTCAAGTGCTGGATCTAGTGGCGACGAGCTTGCGTTAGTGATTGCAAGGGTTTTTACAACTCAGGCACCGGAGCAGAAAATGAAGCGTGGACTGAAAATGGTAGATTTTGCTATTGACAAGAATTTTCTCTTTTCATCGTGGAGGTCACTAGAAGGAGACGAGGTGTACATTCACCCGAACCCGATGGCACTCACGGGCCCAAAACGGATACTAGGTCAACATGTTAGCAGCCTTGATATGCAGATGCAAAAGTACGAGATTGAAGACAGTGAGTGGCTCTTTGATCTGAAGGAAGAAGGTGTTATGACGCTTATTGATGACTTTTTTGTCGAGCGGATACTTCTGCCTGGGCGCTTTTCGCGACAGAACCTGTCGAATGCCATTGTGGAAGCACAAAACAGTGCGCTAGTTGGTTCAAATTTTCAACTACCATCTGCTCTTCGTTTGTCTAAGTATAAAGATGTGTTGGTTCGTCTTGTGTCAAGTCGATACGGGAAAACGATTAGTGCTGCCACTACTACTTGCAATGGATCAGCATCGAGCGCTGCGCGCATTAAAGCTTGGAAAGAGCTTATTGCAATGTGCACGAAGTATTGGCAGTGCGAAAATGTACCTATTGGCTTTGCTACGACGACAAATGCACTTCTTCCTGGCGCGCCTGTGATGCTGCGCCGTAACCGCGTATCTTTGTTGTTCCCATCGTCATCATCAATTACTGCCACATTTATCCCACCAGCGGAGCAAGGCTGTACGCGTGGAGAGTGCATGGCTGATCTATTTTCTGACGTTCTTCCAATTTTTGACGCATTTCCGAGCCAAAGTTTTCAGTCTTTTGTTCACCGTGAGGTTGTTGATGTGTCTACCGATTGGAAAGTAGAGTCCTTTGTGGCTTTAGCACGCCACTGCGTTCGCCTTGGTGTGAAACCAGATTTTGCCACTAGCGCCACTGCTACGGAGCAACCTGCCAGCGCAGATCTTGTTTTTGCCCGCGCGATTCTACGACTAAGCAAGTTGATAGGTGGTGATGCCGTCTTCCATGACCAAGTGTTTCATGATCTTGTGGAGCACTTGTTACCATTTGACCTCTGGTGTGGTCCAGGAGCGCACGAGTCGTCGTCACTGAAGCGTGAGGGCAGCTCCAGTAGCGATGATGACACGGACACATTTACCGATAAGGAAGATTTTGTGATGGCGGATGCCGCTACTTCGAGCGATTACTACTCACCCAACAGCCGGCCGTTTTTCGCTGGCTATGAAATGAGCTTTGCTTTTGTCCATGTGGCGTCGCGCTCAATCGATGAAATGTGCAACCAGTCGCTTCGTGTGGTGCTCTTTCTTGCATATCTAGTGGACGCTCGGCCCGCGTTCTTAGGGTCTGCAACGCTTAGCAAGATTATGCGGGTATACCTGCCTAAATCTATTTCGGTGTATCAGCGGTGGCGGCTCAGCAGGTGGGTCGCTAGCCAATGCATTACACAGTCAATCGCTGATAACGATCCTGCTATTACCTCGTCGGCTGCGCTCATGCCATCACTGCTGCAAATGTTCGTTATGGACGTAAACGGAAAGCTAAATGAATCAGACAACTTCAAGCGAGCGCTTTCAGTATTGCAGCTTGCTAGTGCAAGTAATAACGTGCGCAGCGAAGAAGCACATAGCCTGTTGGCAACGTTTATACGCAATTTCCTGCAGGAGGTTTCTCAACCCAATGACTCGCTGGTACGTTTTATAGAGAAGCAACAGCAGTTCCGACTTTTGCGTGCATTGTTCTGCTGTAATCTCAGCGACATCAGTCTGCACGGCTTCAGTAAGGGAGAGGTTGCCCAGCAAAGCGACCAAGTGCACAAGTACGTGCGGTCGATTGGCAATTGCTTAGCTTGCGAAGGCCAAGAGGCTGCAGCGCGCTCTGATGACGATGCAAACGCACGAGATCATGCTCGTTGGTGTTTCCAGCAAGCTATCCGCTGCTTCAGCATTTGCCTGTCAGATTTCTTTGTGGAACGTAACCACCGGCCCTCGTTGCCTGAAAAGGCCTTGAAGCAATTTATTTACGAGGTGGTCGGTTTGCTGAAGGAGACGGTGCCTCGTGGGTTCTACGATCAATTACTTAGCTTCCTCTGGACTGTGGCCACGCAGGCGCTAAGCCATTTGGCTCGCCTTAACGGCGGTGAGCCAAGCTCTGCGGTGCAATCCTTCATCTGGGTCAATGTGTTCAAATATTCCGTTGAGGAGCGATTATTTCGCGACGCGCATCTTGCGCTCATGCACACGGTAGAACATTCGGCAGCATTGGGGGTACCGGAGACTGCTGTGGATGCAGAGGAAACGGCAAGTGAATGCGTTAATTACCTGGTAAAGGAGTTGTACCGCTATGGTCACCTCGACATCATTTGCGAATTGCGATGGGGATCTCTGGAGTCACATGTCGAGAAGTACATATTTTGGCAAGCGGCAAACGCCACTGTCGTTCAAGGCAGTAGCCTCAATGCAGGCGCTGTGCGCTACTATAATTTGCTGTTCACGTTTTACATGCGCAAACAGCAGCCAGCAAATGCAGCATCTTCGCTGTATTCTCTTGCGCTGCGTATACGACTCGCGGTATGTACGTCAAAGGCAGCTCTCGAGGCGCAGCGCAACGCTCTGAATGCAGCCTGTTACACGCTGCGAGCGCTTCCTGCCGAGAACCGCTGGATTGTTCGCAACTTGCACACTGAGGAGCTCAAGCATTCAACGCTGGGCGCTTTCACAAAAAGAAAGTTGACACCATCTGTAAGTGTGGTTACGTTGGAGGATATGAAACATGAGCTGGCTGTACTTGATGGCAAGCTACGTTTATTAGCACTTGGTCACGTGGAGAGTGTGCTCTTAAGCACGATGGATGGGGACGAGGTGATTGCTTTGCTATTAGATGCAGTCCACAGCAGTTGCTACAAACCAGAAAACATGACGCTCGCTGAACGTCGGAGAGCTGGTGTGCGCTCGATTGAGATAGCTGCTGAAATTGCAGGCAGGAGCTCGGTGGCTAGCTTGTCTAGTTTGACAAAGTCTTTGGCTCGGTATTGCGTGGCCAGTGAACATCCTTCTGTTTCGTCCTCCATCACGCGATCCGACAGTAACTTGTTATGGGAACTGCTGAAGTTGTCGCTGGCTCATGCGGAATCACTGACCCAATACGAGATCGCTGCTGAGACAATACTAGACTTTTGGCAGCAACGAGGACGCAAACTTGCTCTTCCTGCGTGGCTTGACGAGCGGTTGGCAAGCCCAACGTCTGGGAATCCAGCAATGCTGCTACGGTTGTACCTTAAGCATGGGCTGTTACTAGAAGGACTGCAGCTTGTCGAAAGCCTACTCCCCGATGCCGTCACCAGCGGCAGAGAAAGCGTTACGACCGATTCTAGTATCCAGTTGCCGATAAAGTCGAGCCCTGGCTCGTTGAGGCTTCCGTGGATTCCGTACAATCTCGTCGATGCGCTTCTGGACGCGGCGGCAGCCGTGCTGAAGCAGGATGGAAGTGGCGAGGTCTCACCTGCCGCAGTAACGGACCTTCGTGAACGTGATTGCAATCTTCGTCATCACTTGTCTCGATACTTTCACTCGATTAGTGCGCTCCAACAAGCAGAAGAAGCTGCAAGTCTTGCGCGTCGTAGCATCAACCAGGACTTGTGAGCATAGCTCAAGGTGGTTAATGTTTCATTCAAATGACATTATGGGCACTTCAACCTTGAACTGAAATCTATCTATGAACTTAGCACGCCTCCATATTGTTTCATGCAGCTTCCTATCTTTCACTAGACAACTACGATTGTCGCGGCTTCTTTGACTTTTTTCTCTTAGTCTGCTTAGAATTCTTTGCTTGCTTGGCCATAGCCACCTTCACAATCTGGTCGTAATCGTCAGCATCGGCAAACATGACCTTGCGCTTATCGCCTGCCTTTGGTGGTGTCTTTTTCGTTCTCCTCGTATCCAGCTCAAGTAGCTCCTCTTGAAGCACTTCATCGTCATCATCCACCCCGCCTATGACTGAAAAGTCAAAGGCAACCTCGTCGTCATTCTCGTCATCGTCGCCCACTTGATCATTTTCGTATTTCCCGCCATCATCTTTTCCTTTATCGTCGCCAGCATTCTCTTCGACAGTCAGATCTCCGGTGATATGCTTTGCCTCCTCCACCTCACCATCCAGTCTCAGTTCTTCATCATCGTCTGAATCAGTCCAGTTGGCAATGTCAGGGTCTTCATCGTCCAGGTTGCCGTCCTCAATGATCCCCTCGGCCAACTCCTGCGCATAAGCATCAATCTCTTCATCATCTTCGTCGCCATCTTCCATGTCGAAAACAGCGTCACCATCACGCTCAGTTTTCCCCTTCTCAGTGCGGCGGCTACGAGGATGAATTGCATTACGAGTAGCACGTTCCTTGAAAAATTTGTAGAAAAACTGATCGCTTGCGTCTACGTTTGTCTCATTCTCCCTCAGCACAGCCTCTGTATTGATAGGGGCAAACGTCCAGTTCTTCGCCTTTGCACCAATATTGCTACTTGTATCAGCCACTTTATGGCGTGGTTTCTTGTTGACAAATTTCTCAAAAAATGCGTGCATCGTAAAGTCCACGAGCGGGTCGCCAGCGTACTGAATACCAATGTCCTTGCTATCAAGAAGTTGTCGGGTGAAACTCTGTACAGACGGGTGATAATGGTGCGCCAACATCTGTAGTTCCCAAGCACACGACGACTCAGCACCAGCAAATAGCGGATTCCGCTTGGAAGGATCGTACCCGCCTTTGTTTTTATTGTCTCCAGCCTTCTTCTTGTTGGCCATGATCTTGACGGCAGGGCCATTGTCAAAGTTTACATCAACAGCGCCCTTCGACTTCTTTGACTGCTTTTCGGGACTACCAAACATCGTCGCCAGCACCTTGGCTGAGCGCTCCTCATCCGTGAAACCATCATTCAGCTTATCCAATTCAGCATCTTCTAAGGTGTCGTCGTTATCGTCGTCAGATTCCTCCTTCTCAAGCTCAAAAGCGATGTCTTCCGTCTTCGCATCGACAAAATGTTCGTCATCAGCGGCATTGCCAGTAGCCAAGCCAGCCTCGGGCTGGTCAACCAATGTCCGAAGCTGGGGCTTTATCTTGACTAGCTCAGATAACAGGAAAAGAACAGCACACGTAAAAGCCGGTGGCATTATGCTAGCAAGCTGCAATAAACGCTTAATGAAAGCACTGGCGCGCGCAGGTGACACATCTGCCTTCATTGCGCGAAAGATTAAGTTCAAAAAAAGCGTCTGTTTGGAAGTCTCGCGCACCTTGGGATCAATAAGCTTGTCGTATAGTGCAGTGTAAAACCGATCAGAAACGGAATTAGTACTGTTCATAACCTGGAATAGCAGCATGAGTGCCTGAACACTAGTGCTATGGTGGGCACGGTGCACGACCTGAAACAGCGAGTCAATCTCGCCGATAAAGTTAGCCGAAGTGACATTCGCGTACGGGAATGCGCGATTGACACCGCCAAGGAGCGCACTTAGCAGTTTGCGGTCCATAGCCTCTTCCATGACTGGGCTTGCAGTTTTCTTCTTCTTGCTAGTTTTTCCCTTCTTGTCATTCTTTATTGTCTTCTTCTCCACGTCATGACGATGCACTTCTTTTGAAAAGAGGCCAAAGTAGACTGATATCAAATGAGCAGCTAGGTCAGCATCCCCTCCGTCACTATCAAGATATATCTGATTTAAAAAAAGCACAGCATTGTACTTGGCACGATCTGATACCTTTGGACGGGTAAGTAACCTTTCCACCTCATCCACTACAACACGTTTCATAACTGGATGCTCCCGAAGTAGTTCCTGCAACATCCGATGCAAATATGCCGCAATCTTACGGTCCGGGTCCCCAAGTTTATTAACCAACATGGCCAATAGCGTTGCTTCTTGTTCTGGTTTTGCACGCAATAGTGCATTAGCAGCACGTAGACACGTACGTTTATGGCTATCCACTGCATCGTCCATACCGGAAGCTAAGACAGTTAAAAGCTGTGTATACGCTGTTTTGAGACAATGTTCAAAGAACCACAGCATTAAATGAGTAGGTGATGATTGTGCCATTTGTAGTGGATGTTGATGAAAATATCGTAACTTGGTTTCATTCGGTAAGAACGTATTGAGAAATAAGTCTTTCAATGATTCAATTGCCATGAGACTTTCTCGACGAGCTTTTTTCTTGGCCATTGTAATCAATTGACCAAGTCGTAGTAATGTCGACAAAGGAGAGGCCTGAATTGTAAGTGTTAGTGCAGCAATTTGATCCGATAAAGTACCAGATTTCATCATTGTCGCGACATATTTCGCATCACTGGACATTGTTTCATGCTTTTGATTCTCATCTTGTTGCACTTGATGCTCAAGTAATTCTTGGGCTTTTTTCTTCAGTCGTATCACAATTTCATCTGACGGTTTGTATGATACTGCATCACTACTAGTTGATTGAATCCTTGGCTTGAGTTGAGACTCAATCTGATACCAGACACCAGTAGTATCTGTATGTGTTCTCATCATCAATTGATCAAGACGACTGAACTGTCTTTTTTCGAGCTTATTTCTTTCAGTTTTTAGAGTCTGATCTTGATTTATAGCAGTAGAAAAACACGTTTGTGTCTTCTTAACGATGAACGTCTTGTTCTTCTTGCTACTTGATCCATTGACTACCATTTTCATGACCTGTATGTGCTTGAGAGCTCGAAGGTTTTGAACCAGTCAATTACGAATACTGGGAAATGGAATGCATGGATACTTAACTGAATTATGCGATCCTATAGTTTCGACGTAATGAAAAAACACATTTTAGGAAATGGTAAACCTCTTTTTGTCTAGATTACATTTATAGTTTAGGAACAATAGTAAACAAGATATAGCTTCAAGATTACTAAACATTTCTACTTTGTATTGTAAACAAACAGATGACAAGCGTTTTATAGACTGTCATTATATCACGTTACTATCTATAATTAATGGGTAAATTGCGTACTTGCAAATAGATGACCAATACGAGCCCAAAGAGTAACCAGACAACTACTGTAGCCGTCACAGCATAGCTCACAGGTTTTAATATGTTACAGTTGTCATAGTCACAGACGTCAAGAAACGTTGGTATCATACTGCACTCGTATTTTTTGCGTCGCATTTCCTGTTTGGCAAGTTTCTCTTTCTTAGCCCACGTAGCCACGGCTTCTTGAATCAGGCATAATTCTCTGTACTGAGTCTCGATATTTTCAATCAATGGCTGCCTCGAACGAGTTGTCACGAGTAACTCGTCATCTTCGGCATCGTGTTCAGCGTCATCGTCATACAAGTCTCCGTCATCGTCTTCATCACTCACTACTTCAATACTGTCCACATCTTCGGGTCCATCTGTTTCTACACCCTCAAGTTTCAAGTCTAAAGAGCTAACGGGTGACCGAAATTGCACTTCTTCCTGTTCATCATTGCCCATTACGTCAAAAATATCGCGAGAAGTGGGGCGTCGAAACTTGCCATTCCGACGCGTATGTTTTAGCTCTAAATGAGTCGGTAGACAGGCTTTGCATACAACATCCATGCAGTTTTTACACTTCTTTTTTATCCCAAAGACCTTAAACTTCTTGCCGCACATATCGCACAAGCTTGGGGAGCCCATAGGTAAAAAATATGAATAAACGACTGACTGACTCTTTTACTATCAAAAAGGCTTAATGATTTGTGTTTTGCACAGATAGAAAAGATGTACAGTCCAAAAAGTCATACTGTAGTACTTTTAGTAATACTTATGCAAAATACTATTATCTGCTCCCATATTACTATTTTTGCACTCATACTCCTACGCTAGAAACTAAAAGCATAAACTAGTGGACTAGAGATTCTACAAACACCTTAACGTAGAGAAAACCATGGGCAAATACAACACCATCCTTCAGATGACATTGCATTTACATACGTTATACTCTAGCAGAATCTGTTACACGAACTTGATAATTGTCAAGCAATTGAGCACCTTCCATTGCGAAGCGCCGTAGATGAGTCTCAAGTCCAGGAAAATTAAGGTCTGCGACTTTCTGAAAATAAAAGTGCTCATTGATTTTGTTGATATTGCGCAGACCGTAGCATGACTGCCGCGCTGGAAAATCTGGCTTTGCCCTGTATGTCTTAATTCGGTAGTCCACGCGACTTGACGAGTTTCGGAATAAATACAGGTGCGTCCATATGACTGGATCAGGTAGATTGTCATATTCTCTTGGCTCCAACGTCGGTGCAGGTGTTTGTTTCAAACAATCAAGTTCGGTTTGTACTATCATATCTTCAAGATCAGCAGGAAGACCTTGATCTTGTAGCTTGAAACGAGCCTGCTTTCGAGCTACGGCTTCGTAGTTGATTTTTTCACGTTTTACTTGTCCAGTCAATTTGTTGGCGTTGCGGTGAAGAAAGAGTATGTTCCCCGCAGAATCGTATTGTACCGTAGTCATGCCGCAAAATATCTCATTTACAACCTTGCCAGCAATAGCAGGTGGACTCTGTACCATAAAGAACGGTACGTTCAGCTTGATCCATGCACATCGAAAAAGATCTTTGTCGCCAAACACAAGCTTGAGTTGACTAAAATGATTTGGAACGTGAAAAGTATAAAAGTTTACAAGCTCCATGGCGGCCGCATGACGACGGCGATCAATGAGCACTTGGCCGCTTTCCTGCTCAAACATGTCAACGTATTCCATGTCCAGCATTTGCCACAACAGCGAGTCTTTCACGATGTGAAATATTGTATGTTTTGGATGCCAAAAGTCAGGCCAGAACACAGCTCCAGTTCTTACAAACTCCTCGGACTCAAACAAAAAAGTCGGATCACGTACAGGTACATTATCCGAATCCAAAAACAACACCTGGTCAAAAGCACTGTTGTAAATTGCATACACCTTTGTTGCAAAACGAAGCGCTCGTTCGTCAGTGATCTCTCGAAACGTTATTCGATCCACAGCATCCTTTGTTGCCGTTTCTTGAAGTGGTTTGAGTATCTCAAGATTTCCCTGCATCTCGTCCGATCGGAACCAAATTTCGATCGGTAGCTGACAATTCAGCACCTCTCTTAACGTGCGAATAGACGCATATGCACTTGCTAACACTTTTGGATGCACTACCATGACAATTCCCGCTCTCGACGCCGCATTTTCTTTCACATTAGGCAAACTGAAATTTGACATTATTGCCTTCTCGACTATTTGACTTCCTTTTATATGGAAATTGGCGAAATCAGGTGCGTCGGAGCAGAAAAACTTGGCCCCCTTCTTAACTGTGCTGCAACCGCGTTGCATGACGCGAAACCTTTGACCCGATTCAACGTCTTCAATCTCGCAATATCCTGATGCTCCATTCATGATCCTTTGGTCACATGATTTATCATTAGCCAAATCCCGAACTCCATCCGGTCTACAATCAGCCGTTGCCCTCCACCCAATACATTTATACTGACGTTCTTTTAACACTCCACTTGGTAAATCTTTTACCATTAGTGACTGGGCTGCTGCATCCAGCTCTTCGGGTGTAATAGAGTGAACTTTATTGGCAAATAGGTGAACAATTGACATGGGAAGACTATCGAAAGTCGATGAACTCTCATAAGTGCTATTGGCAACCCAGATCAATACTACTGTCGTATAAAAGACACTCGCTACTAGCATAAGTCGAAGCACACTTGGCCTGCATTTAAATGATGGAGCAGACCGTCTGACGCTTAAATTTGGCATTCTTATATAATGTTGCGCACATGTAACAGCACATATACAAATACGAAGCCTTCAGTTTAAAATTACAGGGAGAGTCAGTTTCGATTCGACAGATACGTTTGGTGAGGTATACGTGTTTTGTATACATTAAATCAGAGCCTTGGAAAACGAAAATCGCAGGGTCAAGTAAGTAAACGTCAACCTCTTCCGCATCTGCACGATTGATCTAAGCGAATACTATCAAGCTACAACATGCATACAATGAAAGCCCCACTAGAGTCACCTTGATCAGTCCCTTGCCTTGCCATGTACGTGTCCTGTCAGCTCCTTACTAGCATCAGCAAAAGACAAAGCGATTATATGAGACGGGCAATCATCGCCACACGCAAGATTAGTCAGATATATGTTATGTTCAACTACGTGTAGAAGTGCAGCATTTTTCTTTCTTGGTCTACAAGAGTAGTCACTTTTACCACCCTTGACGTAAGCGTAGCATGTTCGAGGTCAATATCTTGCCGTATTTTTGTGCCTTGAGTGTCACTCTAGCCGTTAACGACAGCAAAGCATTGTTCAAGAAGTGATGGTGGAGACGTATAAGATGCTGCATGAAACAATGTGGTAGCGTTTAGGCTTTCACTCCGATCATACACTCCAACTGACTTTCTTGTCGCCTTGGACAACTAGGTGTCATGTGTCGGGACCATTATTAGCAGATTGTACCGGTAGGCTTGCAGATAAAGCTAATGATGAATCAAAGCCTTGCCATTCACGTACAATCCGTCTACTTAGTCGTTGCTTTCACGTTTAGGGTCGTTTATTGAAAAAAATACTTCTGGGAAGTGATTGAAACGATTCTTCAGGTCATGGTTTGGCATTAAATCGATTTTGCTGACATCCTATAAAGAGAAGAGTTACATGCAAATTACCACTCGAATGCAAGCCAAAACGGTTTGACCCGTGAGTATGTAAAGGAAACGCTTCTCTACATTTGGACCAGAAGTATTACCCACGACAGTCTATCCTGCATTGTGTCTCGAATAAAAAGCTTGGATTCCTCACTGGTACATTATCTAAGTCCAAAAACAATACGTTTTCAAAATAGCTATGATAGATAGCATACACTTTGACGCCAAACCCCGTAACACTTTCGTCGTCAATTTCATGAAACGATATACTTCTATTCAACGACGCAAGTTGCTGCAAAGGCGCCATCGATCCTGGCACCTCGTGCATCTCTTTTTTACAAAACCACAATTCAATCGGCAAGTCACACTTTACAGCTTCTCTTAATGTCTGATTTGATGCATAAGTACTTGGTACCATCTTTGGATACACCACCATGACTATTCCGTTTGATCTTGCTTGTTCGTTCCCAATATTTGGCAATCTAAAGCTCAACATTGATGCGTTATTCATTGCCTTACTTGCTTTTACTGGAAAATTCACAAACTCTTGAGCATTGAAACATTGAAATTGACTTTCAGGTCGGACACTTCGACAATATCGTCTCATGACTCAAAATTTTTCTTTAGTCAATATATCTTCTACCTCACAATATCCCGGTTGCGTATGCTCCACCAGCATTGACGGAATTTATCAAAATGAGGTAATCTTGGTCCATGGGGACTGCAATTGTCGGTCGCTCTCCAGCTAATGCAACGCAATTGACGAAGGTAATTTTGACTTTGAGATAACATTTTTACACTACGTGGTGTTTTTCTGCTTTAGCAATTGTAATAGTAGTCGCAGAATCTAATTGATGAGACGGTGAGAGGAGGTGTATGTATACAAGGAAAATCACAAGTCCACAGATGTAGAAGATGCCGCAGTAGAAAAAAAGACGTATCAAGCATTGGTGTGTCATAAATCTTTGTATTCTTTTGAATGAGGAAGGCTTAGAAGGTGCTGCTGAAGTAACACGGAGATGACTATACTCTGAATTCATTACAAGCTGTAATAAGAGAATTTTGTGACTGTTTACAAAGACTTCTATACTAACAGTATCGCCACACTAATAAGCCACTAACTTTTCTCATTGGCTCATGATACTTGTCATTTTGTTACTTCAACATGCACGACTTAAACTGGTTCCAGTGCTTTTAATTATTCAATTAGCGATTATATTTACTAAATGTTTAACAGAATGTTTGTGATCATGTTTATGATAAAAAGGTGTTTCTCTTATTGTCTTTTCCTGGAAACGATCTTTCGGCCCCTTATAACGAAAAGGATTAGTGTAAATAGTTTCGACATTTTCATCAACGCTATCGCTCGATCAGTTGAACATTTTGGATTACTGCAAATTCTAGTAGCAGTTAAAAAGCTTTGACTGACGCAGCACCATCGGGTCTCCTTACGCTCAGTTGCACCTGTGTAATACTATACATCTAGTTTTGTTGAAGCAGATTGTACGATACGTTCAGATCACATTACCGGCTCATTTACTTACGCTCCCAATAATATGTCGTTTAGCAACAACATTGAGGCCTGGACGCCGCTTAATATTCGAAGCATTAAGGTGAGTCAGCATTGTACTAGCAAGTAGGTTGAAATCTGCTCATCATATGCGCTGATTCTTCCTGTCAGTTTCTTGCTCTTTCGGTGTAGAAAAGCACTTCACCATCATAGTCAAACTGCACCATAAACATACCACAATTTTTTTGTTACGCAATGTGCCGGCAAATGGCGAGTGGGTTAGCAACCATGTAAAACGGACTCTTGGTCATAAGCCACGCAAGACGAATAAAGATCCCTCGTCGCCATACCTTAACTTGTACCATATAAACATACTTAGGGTCGCGGAGAACAAGAGGAGAAAGCAACGCAGTGGTCTAGAGCTCCGAGCTTTTTGTCGATCACGAGCGGGTCACATTCCTGCTCAAACACATCCGTGAACGGCATATCAAGAATTTTTTGCAGCGAAAACGCTTCAACAAAGTTAAAGATCGTATAGGATGAATGCCAGATGTACAGCCAAACGATGGCCCCAGTTTGCAAAAACTCTCGCAACTTGGACAAATAACTCGGATTCTTTACAAAAACAGTATCCGCCTCCAGAAGCAACACGTACTCAAAATCGGTGTGCACAATCGCGTATATTTTCGAATTTTGAAACTTGCTACTCTTGGATCAGTGATAGAATGCAGTGTCAACGGCCTGTCCATTTCTTTCAGCTTCTTCGGGGAGGGGTCGTCTCGCAGTGAAGTTCCATTAAAACTGTCATTTCAGACTCAATATACCATAATTCTACCAGTAGCAAGCACTTCATCACCCGCAACGCACGGAATGAAGCGTAAACACTCACCAGAAGTTCAAAGTAAAAGATTATCAGAATCTCTTCACTACGACTGGCAGCACGTGCCAAATTAGTAGTTGACCTTCCTCCATCCCTTGTCGTAGTCGTCTCCTGTTCAATCGCCACTGCTAGCTGTACCACTTCCCATTAAAAGTCCGCAAAGTCTTCCGAATTACGACAACTCACGATTACACTTGGGTGCAGTGTATCACACGTCGTGTGCATCATAAGCTCTGCTGCCCTGTAGCTTCTCTTCCATCAAGCAAGAGCCACCAACTCCTCCACGTCCTTACAGATCAAATTTCAATGCTAAGTGGACACCCCAGCAAGTGCCTCATCACTCTTTGCGCCAGTACAATACATTTGTCTTCATCTCTCTTATAGTTGACTGTAATAAGAGTTAAAATGCCTACACGAGGTGCATTATGACAATCTTTAGTCGTCGTTTGTCAAGGCCTTAACGCTTTATTGTGACGTATTGAAAGTTGTTACTAAAGCGTAACGATTACTTTTGCGGTTTTATGTACTATACACAACTACTTTACGAGATCATCCCTAGTGATCATTACTCTTTCTTGCGTAGGAACGACATTTTGCAAATAAAATATCACCATTCTCGAATAAGCATGAAACATGACATAATAGAGTTTCAATATATCAGCTAATACAGTAGGACAAAATGCAGACTTTAATGCATCTGTACTCGAGACCATAAATGTTCATAGATTAGATTGCGAAGCCTCAGGCTGATGGTTTGCAAACGGGTTTGGCAAGTCTTACACATAAGACCTTGGTTATGCAACGAGTATTTTGGCAGTGAAAGTATTCATCGATCACTTCATTTTCAGCAATCGGTCATGAAATAAATCGCTGCGTGGACCTTTCTACAAATTGTTACTTTCTAAAGATAAGCTAGGAGTGCAAGAACTTGTAGAACTCACCTTCTTAGACCCACAAGGTTGGTGGGGTGAGGTAAGAGAAGCTGTTTGTGTTATAGCTGGAACGCCACATTATTTATTCGAAAACGAGCATGTGACACTTGACAGTCTTTGTCAATCATACTACATGCGCGTACGCTTCCTTGCATTACACAACACCGTTGTCAGCTTTCAAGAGCTCTAGCAATACATTTGCCATGAGTTTGCTGCGGCTTAGCATGCCGCAGTAATCTCAGCAAAGACAACAGCACACGAATCTCAAGTAAACAATGATGCTAATTAGCTTATAGATCAGGGTGAGAGCGCTGTTAACGAGCAGAGCCAACAAGAAACGTTGCTTGAGTGTATTTTGCGGAATCAGAAAGAGCCTTAGCACCAACAAAACCTGCCGGGTTCCGTCTGAGCAATCTTAATCTTGCCAATGCATATTGCATCCAATTTACAGTTGTGCTTTACTTTTGCTGCTTCTAACATGTCACCACCGCATAAATTTCGTTGTCAATGCTTTCTAGATTGTACCAACGCCAAACTAGACATGATGGTAACTATTACGATCAACTGTAGATGGTCTTGAAGCGCTAAAAGCGAATGCAACAGGGATAACGTCGCAAGGGCATTTGATAAATAGATGTAATCGATGACCAATACACAACTTCAGACACACACAGAACATGTAGCATATTCTGACTGAGTGTGTCGGTCAATGCAAACCCATTCTAAAATACTGAAAAACAAGAAAAGATGTACAGGAGAAGAAACTTTTGCATGAGTTCGGTATATGTACGTGCATGTACAAGAAACGCCCGTGCTATAACTGGACAGGGTTTGCACACACATGCAGCCGTATCGACGTCTGAGGCCAACAGGTGATCACTTAAATTGGCATAGGCGCTATCTACTGCGAGCAATTACAAGGAGCACTCGTGTTTGCATTAGGTCAGCTGTGTCTCATCCACGTAGCAAACTCAACTGGTCAGACGCTAATCGATGATACATGGTGTACGGTAGATCCAAGATGGTAGAGGGCTCAAAACACGTGGCATTGAAGGCAAGACCAAGGAAAGAGGAATCCATGCTATTAAAGTGAATGTCATGTTCAAGTGTATACTACACTAGGCAGCTTTGGTAGATTATAAAATTGAAATGTCGAGAACCCGCTCACGATGAGATCGTTTTGGAGTTTGTCGTGTGTGCTTGCTGTAGTGGTCAGCATCGGTAGCATTTGAAAATTGATACACCTTGCATGAATTTGTGCATGAATAACGCCACCAAGGTTTTCTCTACCATCTGTCATTATAAGAGTAAAAGTCTTGTGCATCTGAATATTTGTTTCATGTTCAACTGGATACTCGTTTAATAAAATGGGTACTAATTTGTCGTGATTACCGAAGATTTGGAAAACTACTTACAACAAAATGAGACACCGCTTTTAATTTTCCTAGAAAATTGGTACCAAACGAACGACAAAGCGATCACAGTAAGTTTCCACTTGGTTTCAAAAAGGTCTGGACGACGTCGGTGTGTCAACCAACCCATCCCACAGCTGCGACCAACTTGACCAATCAGATATAATTTGTCCTGTCTTTCGACCACTTTTTCTATCTTTTTGTACTGACTCACTTGAACATTCGCTACCAAATGAACACAAAGTCTTATTTCTCAATTCGCTCGATAGAAAATTAACCCATAAAACTACTTGTAGTTACAATAAATTGTCACCATGGTGACCACAACCCGATCCAAGTGCGTATCCATGGATGGATTAACGCAAAGTCTTTCTGATCTTAGCACACTACAAGCAAAAGTAGGCGAATTACGCCTTACTTCCGAAGGCACGTGGCTCTATCTACTTCACGTAACCTGTGGTCGTGGCCGTTGGCAGGTAGCTAAACGCTATAGTGAAATTCGCGAGCTATGGCTTGAGCTGAGCAAGACACTTGGTGATAACAACGCTCAAATCTCGTGCACTGAACACAGCCATTTTCTTGCTGGACTTGAACAGGACAAGTTTCCCAAGAAGCACCTGCTACTAACGCAGCACAAGCTTGAGGCGCGCGCCAGTAAACTCGATCAGTTTTTTCTCAAGCTTGCAATGCGTCTTAATCTATGCAAGCCTCACGAATTACTGAAGTGTCGTATGCGTGGATGTGCACTTTTGAAGCTCATTGCGAGCTTTTTTGATGAAAATGCCGAACAAACCAAGAAATGCGCCTCAACGGGCATTTTACGAAGCATTTCGATGCAGCGTGAGGTACAGCGTCACAATCAGCAGTTTACAAAGAAGAGACGTGGTAGTATTGGTATGGGCATCAATCACTGCTTTTCGTTTGGTTTTCAGCAACAGCATAACGCTGTTGCTGGATTTGCTCAGTGAGATCTTACGAAGATGACGTTTTTTTATGTAGGCTAGACATCTTAGACCACAACTGCCGGCTTGGTGCAGTCGACCAGCCACTTATTTAGTGTAACTCAACACGCGCTTCATATTGATGCTTCTAGCACCATCGTGTTTCGTTCTAAACCTGATGCCAAGATACTAAAAAATTGCGTCTCTGTTTGGAGACACTCGAGACACCTGCATATATATATATATGTTTAGCATGATCCAAAACTAAACGGGGTTCCTTTAACACGCAAGCTGTATCGGTAGTAAGCGGCAAGATATGGACGCACATGTCCCATGACGGCTCCGATAATACGGTCTCTATTACCTTCGATGCAATGAAAGCAAAATGTCCTATGACGTCTCCGATTCGGTCTCAAGCTGTTGGAGCAAGTAATTCTGCTCGTCAACCACTAGCGCGTCCACAATGTCGTCCAGTAGTTCGCCATTCAGCATCCGCTCGATGCCAAAGACTGTCACATTTACGCGATGGTCGCTCACGCGGCTCTGCGGGAAGTTGTAGGTGCGAACGCGCTCAGAGCGGTCTCCGGAGCCTACCTGCAAATTTCGCATAGTCTGACGTTCAGCGTCGCGTTTCCGACGGACGGCATCAAAGACACGTGCACGCAGAATTTTAAGCGCCTTGGCTTTGTTCTGATGTTGCGATCGTTCGTCCTGAACTGCTGCTACAATGCCCGTAGGGATGTGCGTAACGCGTACTGCGCTTTCAGTCGTATTAACGTGCTGACCGCCGGCACCGGACGCACGATACACATCAATGCGAAGGTCCTTTGGATCCATATCCACCTCGATATCTTCAGCTTCTGGCAATACAACCACAGACACGGCACTCGTGTGTACGCGAACGTCGTTCACTGGTACGCGCTGCACACGATGGACACCGCTTTCAAACTTCATGCGACCGTAGGCACCACGACCTGTAAGCGAGCAAACGCACTCCTTACAGCCACCCAGGTCCGTCTCGGATAAACTCATAATCTCAAACTTCCACCCTTTGGCCAGCGCTACCTTCTGATACATCTTAAGAATGTCCGCAGCAAACAGACAGGCCTCATCGCCACCGGTACCAGCCCGTATTTCCACAATCGAGCTATTTTCGTCTACTTCGTCACGTGGCAGCATGATCCGGACGACCTCATTCTCTAGTCGGTTGATACCTATCAACAACTCTCGACGCTCATCCTCCGCCATACGACGCAGCTCCGTGGCGTCCGGGTCATCACTTTCCGCCTGCTCAGCAATCATTTCATCCAGCTCTTTCACCGCGTTTTGCTGATTTTGCAATTCACGTACTACCGTCACTTTGGGTTCCAGCTCTGCCATTTCAATCGACAAAGTTGTGATCTTGTCTGATGAAAAGCTACCGTCGTTGCTATAACAACATCATTTTGATACAACAAAAATATACGTTAGTCACACAAGTTTATCCGCCTACGTAGCTTTTCGAATATAGAACAAAACACTAGAGAAAGATACAAGGAACAGCAAACCTACTGCGATAATTCGTGCGCTAGGTCATCGTAACGACGCCACAGCAGGTCCATCTGACTTTGAATAGCTGAAGGCATTGAAAAGTCACGGGTATGGTTCACATTTTTCAGCTGCCACAAGTTGAAATCATTTAATGAAGTAGATTGTACATATTGGTGCAATCGAAATACTCGAGTCAGCACCCGACGGCGTCTTCGTAGCCAATACCTTCCAGTGCCTAACATTGTCGTGTGGTTTACAACTAACGATGCTATATGATAGGTTTGTATTTGATTAGAAATAGCAGCAAATGAAGCCTTGATAGTTTTATAGTGTTTTTTACCGACTGTGGACATAGCTAGTTTCAATTTGTATAGCAAATTCAAGAGTAGCTATACTATGATTAATAACTGCTTCTACCAGTGAACTAACAATGATAATCATCTATATACAAAATATCTGCTAGCCACTTTACCTCGAACTGAAAAGTCGTTGGCTAGTTGTGTTAAGATCAAGCCTGTCCTATGAAAATAAGTGCAAGATTGAATTGCTCAAAAGAATCAGAAGTCATAGTACGAGCACTAGAGACAATGATTATAAAATAATTGCAACAACATAACCACAATATAGTTTTACCATCTATAAAAGTTGACCACATGCATTGTTCAGGAATAATAAAAACGATCAGATGACAGTTGAAATGACGCCGAGTTCTTGTGATGATAGAAGCTTTGATTGCTGCAGAAACTGCGGCTTGGAAGCGTATTGTACGCTCAACATTAAACCACTGGATCTAGGCATTATTAATATCACACGTGACACGCGCGTCTGGTGACGAGCTAGTACGGACGTTGTAGACCTAATAAATACGTTGCGTGACGTTGAAAGTGTCTTTGCAGCGATCGGCCACTTTCCTTTGCAGTGGTCAACCAGTTGACGAGGGCAGTTTGCTTGTTGTTCTCGATCTAGCAAATGTGAGCTGCATTCCTGTATTTATATTCCAATCTCAATGGAAGCTTCGATAGACGTTTGCGTTGGGAAAGCACAAAATGTCGTTGAATTCCTCTGCCTTGAGCTGTTGTCAGTATCAATTCGACCGCTAGGCTAGAAACGCACTAAAAGGGCAGTAGTTGTATGTTAAAGAAAGGAATTGAACGACAATGGTTTTGGTCCAGCTACAACCAGACCTGCGTGCGGTTACACAAGTTTCAAAACATTTACAAGATGATGCAGAGCCGCTTAGGTACTTTTCGTACTCGAGATTCTTGTAACTTAAGCGTTAGTTGGCACGACGTATCAAGACGATTCACTTGCTTTTCTACAGTTGTAAAGGAAGTGTCAAGATGGACAATGAAAAGCAGAAAGCCAACAATAAACGCACGTGACCGATCTATGACAGGAAAAGGTTTAGAAGGCTAAAGACAAGCTCATCTGTTCAAGCATGTCGAGTAGATGCAACTAGAAGATGAAAACAGCAGCTATGGCTTGCATTTGAGAACTGCAACAAGGCCTATAACGCTTTTCACGCCTTGAAAGCTCTGAGCAATGTGAGTGCTGACAGCCTCTGTAGCTTCTTGACGACTATAAAGCGTAAGGTTGGTGCAAGAATGGCACTTGTTTGTCGTGCGTACATTGTTTTTGACAAATGTAGACTTGAAGGGCGCTAATGAGTTTGAGCTACGTTATATTGATGGCAAACACTTGATCATGTTCAAAATTAAACACTTACGTCTTCTATCAATTACATGTTGCGCCGCGTTGCTCTATGTCTTCCAAAGTGCACACACGACAACAAATGATTTGGAGCGAAGAGATAATTGCTGACAGAAGGTGAGAGTGACAACCAGGTTAAAACGCATCTTTTGCAGCTTGCTTCTTCAGCGCAATCGCATATGTCTGCTCGGCGATACTGCGCTCCTCGTCTGTGTTGACAACCAGCACTTTGGTTTTGGAAATGTCGGCCTGGATCTCGACGGGGCCTGCACCCATCACCGACACGCCATTCTTATACTCGTTCAGCTGAATGCCAAGAAAGCCCAAATTCCGGCACACACTTTCACGAATCGTAGCCGAGTTTTCGCCAATACCAGCAGTAAAGATGACAGCGTCAAGTTCACCACCCAGCTCAAGCGCGTAGGCGCCCACATACTTACGTACACGGTGGACAAATACATCCAGCGCCAGAACAGCAGTCGGGTCATTGCCAACACGCACACGATCCTGAATTACACGGATGTCACTTTCGTCACAGATTCCCAGCAACCCGCTTTTCTTGTTGAGCACAATGTCTACCTCCTGAATAGTCATGTCAAGCTCCTTGCATAGGAAGGCATGCAGTGCCGGGTCAACGTCACCACATCGTGTGCCCATAACGAGCCCCTCCAGAGGTGTCATACCCATGCTGGTGTCAATGGAACGTCCTTTCTTGATTGCAGTAATGCTGGATCCGTTGCCCAAGTGACACGTAATAAAGTTGCACTCCTCCATAGGCTTGCCAAGGATAGCCGCAGCCTTCTTGGCCACAAACTGGTGACTTGTGCCATGGAAGCCATACCGACGCACACCAAATTTTTCGTAAAGCTTGCGTGGAATACCATAGGTGTAAGCTTTGGGGGGCATAGTAGCATGAAAAGCCGTGTCAAAGACTACAACCTGTGGACACGGCCCGAACACCTTGGTGACTACGTCAATGCCCAGCAGATTGCCAGGATTATGCAGTGGTGCCAGTTTGACGTTAGATTTAATGGCTTCAATTACCTTCTTGTCCACGAGTGAGGCGTTGCTAAAGGCCTCACCACCGTGCACAACACGATGGCCAACAGCCTTAATGCAGTCGAGATTTGAGCCAAAGAATTTGCCCACTGTCGTCTCAAGCGCCGTACGATGTGTGTCCAGTGGCATCTCAATCATCTCTTTCTTGCCTGTTGCCAGCGTCTTGTGCATGATACGGCCATTCTTATTGCTTGATGTGGACAGTTCCACAAGACCTGTGAATATGGCGGCATCCACGCCGTCACGCGTTAGGCCAAATAGCGAGTACTTAAGCGATGAACTACCGGCGTTGATTACCAACAAGTGCGAGTCTGAAACAGAATTTGAAAAGGCACGTGTGGCTAGCGGTAACTTGACCGAGAAAGGTGAAAATAAGCGCAACATTCGCAGTTTTGGAAATGAGCAGATTGAGGATTGAAATAGACTATTTGTTGTCAAGGTTGGTAAAATAATTTGAAAGCTGCTCCCGTAATAAGGTGAAGAGAATAATTATAGTATACACTCTTGTACAATTTGTTCAAATAGACAAGTCATCGACAGACTTCATCACTGACTATCCATGTCACACCCCTACGTCTCGCATTTTATGCACAGCTACTGAAGACTGGGCCAAGATGAGGATCATATACAGTGCGCTTTGACGCACGAGACGTTTGTCGACATGTTTTGAGGATGTTTGTACTGCTAGCAATGCGATGCATTCAAAGTGGCTGCTGAGTCTAGATTGAAGCCTGATGTGATCCCGTTGTAGATGCATTGTACGACGACGACACGATAAAAGCATACATTTGGTGCTGCAGGCTGCTATTTGTTCGCGCAATCGCAAAACCTTTAGATTTTTGAGTGAGAGATCTAATGCATATCCGAGTTTCGTGGTCAGAAAAGTGTTGTAAAAGAGGCTGTGGAAACGACAGCTTATGTATCATAGACAGTTGTCTAGTCTTTATTGCGACATAAGCTGCATGTATCCAAAGGCATTCTTGGTGGGCGATAAGGACGTATACCAAAGCGTAAAGGTATTATGATGACGAAACTCCAAGCTTTCTCTATGTCGGTTGATGGTAACGTCGTTGCGCGCTTAATCTGTCTAGCATGTGTGTAAATGTCTTTAACGCTGTGGGGTGATGCGCCAGAAAGCAAGCGTGCGTAAGCCATCCACCGTGTCGGTCAGCGTGAGCGTTACTTCATCTCGCATTCTGGGTTCATTCAACGTCTTGGTTAAATTTGTTGCCTGACGAACAAAATGTAACAAAATGTGGCAACTTTGACATACGAATTTTAAGAGCCAAAAAAAGAGCTCAACTGCTGTTTCGATATAGCGTTGACCAATAATAGTGCTACCACCAACATTGCTGGTTGAATATCATCGTCCGTGAGCAAACCTCACATGACACACTGATGACTATGATAGCGGAGTCTCCTCAAACTTCTTGTCTAGTAGTTTTAATCAATCCTGCGTACGTTTCGGATACAGTGTGGTCTGTCACCTCCCTACTAGGATCGTTTATATATCAACATGTCTTCAATCGCTGTATATCCGTCGTGTCAACTCGCACGAATGCTGGGCACTGTTGTGCATTTTCTCCAATCGAGGCCCAACTGTGTTTGTAAGCTTTCGCTCATGGTTGGCTTCCATTGCACAACTGGCGCTTTCGTGCTGTTATAATTACTCAATATTCATGTCAAACTTGCTTGTTGAGTTCCTTCTTCTAACGTCGCAATTATTATTGTTGTTGATATGTAGCCTTGTCATGTCTGGACATGCTACCTTGTAACGATGTCGATTGCTTCTTGCAAATGCTGAAAAGTGCCCTGTAAAACGCCAGCCTTCCGTTTGCGGTATTTCTTCAAACGCTGTTGATGCAAATTTAGCTCCGGTATTGTCTCTAGCGCTATCAGATATGACCTTTTGAGTCACTGTGTGCTAAATACCTACTTGCTAACGCTTTGCTCAGACTGGTTAAAGTTGACCTTTTGACTGTGCTGTAGCCCGTCAAATTGGGTATTATAGCAAATGCAAAGAAATCAGAACACATGCATCATACACACACTAAGTGCAAATTGATGCATGTGCTCCTCCGCAACTGACAACTGGGGCTTTTAATTTCTTGAACAACGTGCTTACAGTGCCCACCAACCAACTGTATTGCGATCCGACCTGTATCTTTGCATCACGTAGCTCGTTAAGCTATATCTTTGCCTTCTTGTGTCTCTTTTATCAAGCTTTAATTCCAGCAAAAACTTGTCCACCATGCTGCATGCGCTCGTGATGATATCTTCGCATATGCAGTGCTGCAAGATTACATTATTCATATGTCGCTGCGTGTGCTTCTTCATGGATGGTCTTATGCTTGCAATGACATGCTTCAAATCATAAGCCTTTCAGCAATCTCGAACGCCAGGGGGCTGACCAGCTTTGACCAGCCTGCGGTCTACATGGCACGAAGAAAAGTACGGCGCATTATCCTAAATGTCAGAAAGCAGTTTCTAAATGTCCCTGACCAACACATCATCAAAAATAAAGCTTCATGCGTCTATTAAATATGACATTGTCTCCTAAATTTCGCTATCTCATGACCGGTCATCTTTGTCGGTGCCATTAACATCTTCGTGACAGCAACAGCAATGCCTTTATCTCGTCGTCTTGGACTCGCATCAGCTTTTCGTTTTCTTTGCTTTCCTGCTGTGTAGAGCAAACGGAGGTCGTGAACAAGTAATCGTCGGATTGCCCAAGCTCTTAGTCTTACTTTGTTTACCTGACGCTTTTAGTTTGCACAACATTTTTACTTTTTTTCTCAAACTGACTCAATTGCTTTCATATCGCCTGAATTCACGCAATAAATCGATTCTGCTGAGCCAAAATTACACTCCACGTGCGCTAAGCATTTTAAAGACATATGTACTCTTGCGCACAAAAAGGACATATGAGCTTATTAGCACTGCTGCAAGCTCAAGAAAACGCTCTTGAGCCTTAATATTGTTAAAAGATGAAGTAGCCTTGTATCACGCTGATTTTCTCGTCTCGACATGCTTTCTGTTGCGGGTTGCACACGAAAAAAATACACGATGGCGGTGCTAATCACACGACTGGCCGTGTCAGAACTCACATCGTATGTTGAACACCACGCTGACTATCTTTTTTGGTGTGATTGTAGCTTTTTGTATGTTGTAGTATGGATATTGTCTTGTTGATTCATAGTACAGTTGCAGAGGATATTCCCTTTTAACCGATACACAAGTTTAGGTACAAGAAAACCCGTTTATACAAGTTTTACTGTGCTTTAATGCTTAATACCTTGCTCTTACACGTAGATGGAAGTTAACTTAACTGCATATCTCATTTACATAGACAGCAAATAACACTGTGTGAAATACACGCTTTTTCATAAACGTGATCATCAAGATCTGGGCCTGCTCAACGCTCCCGTAAGGCAAATCGAATAAAACTTACAATAGACCGTTGTACATGACGGTAAATAGACAAGATTGAGCGCGATAACGATAACATGGACGCAAGACATGTTAAAAACAAACAAAAAACACAATTTCATTTGGAAGATAGCAAAAGTGCCCCAATCGCCCATGGACTCAATTAGTCATGGTGATAGAGAAGAACTGAGTGATAAAGCCCTATTTGGACTGTTAATAGTTACTACCCTCCTATTCCTCATTGTGTGTTTACCAATTGCCAGTGGGATGATTAATTTTTTTTCTTCAGAAACAACGATTCAGCTAGAGTTTTCTTCATTTCCAAAGCATTCTGGTTCCCAAGTGTCGCCATCGTTTGTACTATTTGAGAAGTTCGCGGCCTTCCAACCAAGGAGTCTAGTGTCTGAATGCACATTGCAGAGGGGTAGGTCACCCATTAAGGAGGAGTTCCAAGTTCGTTATTCCATTGATAGGGCATCAGCTTCAACTTATTGGTATCTACGGCATCTGCAAACTAGCGATAGACAGTTTCATCACTAAAAAAAGTGAAGAATGAATCGGAGTAGTGCGCAGTTCTATTAGCTCATTCCACATCAACGTAGTCTGTAGGTGATACGCTTACAAGGTGTGCTTTCCCAATGACTGATGAGCCGGGCCCAAAGTGCTTGAGCACGGAGACACCCCCAGAAGATATGCTCCTGGGTCTCTTTCTGTCCTACATATTCTCGATACGTGCAAGTCCCGTCCGGAGGCCGGTACTGATACCAAAACTTTAGCTAAAGCGTGGCGATACCGTGTCCATAGCTGATATTCCGTCACCGCGTGTTCGTGACCCCATATATGACCCGGCGAGACATCGAGAACTACTCGTTGCCATCACGTTTGCTGGCTCTTGGAGCCTAGTTGATCAATGACCTGCTTCAGCGGTGTTGCAAGACACCGCTTAGACGACTTAAAAGCTTGCCGTTTCAGGAACAAGAAAACGCGGCGATTGGAAACCATGGGCGAAGCGGACCATGGATAGTGGTGGACCTGTGGATTGGAAAGAAAACGACCCCATTATAATAGTAGTTCCTGCAATTTTCCGTCGAAAATTCAAGTAATTCCATTGTGGCATTGAGTGAGCTCTAAACTCTGAGGGTAAGCAGAATCGGCCGAGAGAGAAGTGCCCCGAACCCTGCCCGGCCCGACCTGCACCCATGCGAAGGCTTGTGTGATAGGGGGCTGACGCCGCAGCCGGAGGGGGGCCGGGCATCCCACCAGATTGCCGACGTCAAGTGACGGCGACGAAAGTAAGACGACGATTGCTCATTCTCGAAGTTTAGCATGCGAATGGCGGCGGGCGAGGGGGTCCGTGCAAATGCCGCCGAAGACGTATTCCTGGGGTCCTGTCCGCTGTATGAAGTTGTTTCAAGGAGACATCGCAAATTCTGTCATACTTGGACCGGGACAGCGCCGCCGCCTGTGGTGTGAGAATCCAAGGGTTTCCGCTCCTCCGGAAAGTCTGCCAGAAGCCTGCAATCTCTTGGGGCTAAAACTTGACTGGCTGAGGCCGACAGGGAATGGGTACAGAGAGATGCAGCACCCAGTCTTTTTCTTCCCACCAGCTGGTCGATGATGACCGAAGGGATAGTAGATGGTCCTGTACCCGTGCCAGGATGTCCTCCGTTTGCGCTGGTGTTGGCGTCAGCGTGCATCCGAGCTCATAAGTGCATCAAGATACCGCTCGGAAGACGGCGATACAATGTGTTTCACGCTCGGTCGATGCGGACTGATGGCCGCGATATTTGCACCATGCGTAATCCAGGACACCCACGCTGAGAAGTAAACATCCTCCGGCCGAGTAAGTGTCAGTAGCGCGTGTTTCACCCGCTAGGTTTCGATGGCGACCGGGACAGAAACGAGGCCAATACCGCCTGCCTTACGGGGGGGGTATAATGGTGGCCTGGAGCGGC